AGTCAATCCTAAAGGAAATCAGTCCTGAATATTCATTGAAAGGACTAATGCTGAAGCTGAAGCTCCAATACTTTGGCCACCTGATGCAAAGAACTGACTCATTGGAAAAGACCTTGATGCTGGGAAAGACTGAAGGCAGGAGAAGGGATGAGATGATTGGATGGCATCACCAACTTGATGGACATGAGTTTGAGCAAGCTCTGGGAGATGGTGAAGGACAGGGAATCCTGGTGCACTGCAGTCCATGGAGTTGCAAAGAGTCAGACACAATGAGCGACTGAATCATTTTACTGAATTCATGTTCTTTTGATGTTCTTTGAGAATACAATACACCTGTAGGAACTTTTGTTTCTTAGGTAAATTCTTCCCTACTAGTTTCCTCTGTTCGCCACCCTGTTGCCTTTGCTGCTGTAGCATATTTACATGGTTACCAGGTCATGTTATTTAAATATGGTCATGCTTAAGGTAGGCAGGTCTGTTCAGACAATTTATTTGCTCAGACACAGTGTTGGTGTATTCTACTTGTTATATTTCCATCTCATCTGACAACTCTTTCTCTTCCCCTGTGTGCTTGTATTCTATATACTTTTCTGCATGGATGATATTAAAAATATTTCACAACTAGCATCACACAGACACTGAATAAGCAGGAAAGAGGTTGACCACAGTTCTGCAGCAGGGACCTTGTTAGGCCACATTGCCCCTTTAAGATAATAGACTGTGGGGTGGCCTGGAGTTGGATGGTTCTCATGAGAGGGGCTGGGGTCAAAGCTGAGACACTGCAGATAGTGATTATTTACTTCCTGGTATAGAAGCATTTCAATATTGTAACAGTCAGCACAGTCACACCAGTGTGTACCAGCCAAAGCCGAGCCCTGCCTGTCTGTGTGCATCTGCACGGGGGAGGAAGAGCTGTGTATACAGGCTTTTGTTGGAGGAGCTGGGCTCTGCTCTGCCCTCTGATGGTTACAGTAAGTCCTGCAGCACTGTGAACTCCAAATGGAGAGGAGACATCTCCTCTATCATGGGAGAAAAAGACCCTTGGGATGGGGGTTTTTTCCTTAAATTAGGAATGGGCTGGTTGCTCCTGTCCCTGGTTCACCCATCTTTCCTCAGCAAAACCCCCTCCCCTAAACACACACACACACACACACACAGACTAGCCCCACTCAGAGGAAGTGCCCAACTCTCCAATCTTCTTTCCAAAATCTGAGATTTTAAGGAAAATTCTGGATTTTGCAAATTCCCCCAATAGGGGCAGCATTAGGAATTATTCTCATTCTTGCCTTTGGCAATTTGGTCTTTTCCTTTGGCAATTATATTTTGAAGTTTAGGGCATAGTGACAAGGTTGGGCTGCTTCTTTCATCACTGGTGAAATTTTTTACTGGTTAAATTTTTTTTTTACTGGTTAAATTTTTATTTTGGTAGTTCATTTTGTTAGGCTTTAGGGGATGGAGGTTCTGTGATCTGGCCTTTTTTATCCTAAAAGACCCCAAAGCACAATTTTAAAGGCCTAAACCAGCAGTTCTGGAGTTCTCAATCTGGCTGCCTATTAGAATCACTGGGGAGGTTTTAGAAATACAAGTGAAAGGCTGTATTCCACAGATTGACTTAAGTGGTCTGGGAGGGGCCTATACATCAGTGCTTCTAGTTATTTGTTTTTAAATTTTTTTATCGATTCAGATGGAAGGACTAAACAGGGTTGAGAACCATGAACCAGATTTTGCCTTCTGATTGTTCACAATTTGATACACATAAGTACCACTTACAAAACATTTTATACCTGTATTAACAAAGGCAAAATATTTAAAAAACATAAATTATTTATACTTTGGTCAGAGTATTACTTGAGCAGCCAAGGAAGCAGGAAGGAATTGAAGATATGTGTATGACTTTGCTTCAAAATATTTTTATCTAACTGGATAACAGAACTAACACACCTGAAGAAAATAGGGAGCACCACTGTAGGTAATGCCCAACTTCTAAGACAGTTCTGGGATCCTCCAATGGACAGAAAGGCACTGCTGGCTGCTGGGCACACTATTGTGAAGAAGGTGAAGTTTAAGATTTGGTGAGGGAGGCAGCTACAGTAATAACTAGTCCAGTTCCCATGTAATCACACTTCCCATCTTTTTAAAGTTCTAATTTGTGCAGTATTATCTAGAAGTGCAAGATGTGTTTAGAGGTGAAATTGATGGTTGGGATTTATTGTGTCTGGATAGTTTCTGAAGAGACTCAATCTGGGTTTTCAGGAACGGGAAAGGACATTTCAAGTCTGTAAAGGAACCTGAACCGTGGCGTGGAGTCATCAAGGATCGCTTGGAAGACAGGAACGGGTTGAAAGAGCACAGAATTCAGAGATCAAGGTTGTAGCCACTGGGAGTGTAACAAATTGAGTCAAGAAGTGAGGGAGGAGTTCAGGGTGTTTGAATTTCTTGCCTGAGAGACTAGAATAATGGTGGTGTCACTGACTTAGAAGACAAAGCTTAAGGAGCAACCACATTTGGAACTGAGGTTTCAGATGAAGGTAGGATATCTAAGGGGTGATGATCAGGAGGTAGGTGGGTCTGGATAGCAGCTCCAAGGCCACAACCCATGTGAGCACCCTGCACCTGAAGTGTAATTTCAGGGCTGTCTGCATGGAGGCTGCTCTCTGGAGCCTGGAGATGAGTTAATTTAGCAAGGGAAATGAGTAGACAGCTAGGTCTAAATTAGGAGGAACCAGGCAGAGAATTATCCATCTCCCCCAGTGACTCACAAGAGCCAGGGGAAGAGATTTGGTCAATGAAGCACAAAGGTCAGGGGAATGTCTAAGGTGATCTCATGAAGGCCTCCGAACCAGGATTTGACCCTTAAAATATCCAAAAACTTTTCAACAACTTGGACTGTCAAGTCAAAGCAAAAAGCCCTCACATTGGTCACACTCAGTGTTTGCAAAGAAGTGACGGCCCTGTTATCTGAGGAAGGAAATGTGTTTACAAAATAAATCATTCACTGTGATCTCAATGCTGATGTCAGACCATTAACACTCATCAATTCTTATCAAAGCCAGCCATCCCTGCTCCAAACGTACCTCTCCACTGTGTGCTTCTGGAATGATGGTGATGACGAGAGTCAAAATGTGTCTGAATGAATGCATACAGACACGTGTACGTATGCTCATAAAAAGGGTCTTGCATATCTCTAAGCTACCCATGAGAATGTGAGAATAAAAATATTAACTGTAGGATGGTTCCCTTCCTTCTTGCTCTTTGAGTTTCCCCATCGCAGCCGCTAAGCATAGATCTTGCAAGTGTATTCACGTTCCTGCAGAAGGTAATAAAAGAGGTAGAAAACGTACCCATATTCGCAGGTTCTCGAAGAATAGGAAGCAGCAGTTGTTGCTTTTCCTCAGCTGGTTCCTAAAATTAGCACAAGGCAGCTTTACTTCCCTGCCTGCTAGAAATCAGGACAGATGTCCAAACATGGTCTCTTGAACCCACCTTGGTTCATCCTCCAGGAAGCTTGTGTTTTCATGGTTTCCAAGTACCCCAGGGTGGAGCTGAGGGTCAGCAGTTGATTCTTCACTCTCTGCGCATTCTACTCCCAGCAGGTATGAGAGAAGGCAGGAGGTGGCCACCTGGTTATACTACCATCTCTAGCATAACTGATGCTTATGATAAGAACAAAGCTATTACAAAAAGTCTCCTGGAGTTTTGTAGGGGAACTGCACATAACTTGGAATAAGCAGAATCCACATAAACTGACTTCAGGTCTGGATGGGCATTTCCATTTTACACAGTCAAAATAATGATAGTGGTGGTGGTTCTTCAATGTATGTTACTTGGGTTTTTGTGGATTTGCCCATATTCAGTGTGGAACAAAGATACACATGCTTGGAACAAAGACACACATGTGCTTTTAGATACACCTGCTAAAAGCAGTGTAAGCAAAAGGGCTGGGGTTTTACTGTAAAGCCACACAGTTTTCAAGGGGAGGACTTCTGGGGCAGGAGCTAGAAGTGAGAAAGGGAAAGCTGGCCTTCAAGAAAGTTTTGCTGGTGCCTGGCGACTACCTAATTCCTTGTCCCTGCTTCTAGCGTGCCTGCATCATCCTTTCCTTCCCCACTGGCTTTCTCTTCTTCCTTCTCTTCCACATGACCCAGTACGGCCACCCCAGCTCAGACTCCACAGGACCCTTTTGCTCCAACACTACCACACTTCACCGGTTTCTCTCTCTGCCTTCAAACCTCCTTGTCCCAATTCTAAGCAGCCCAGCTCACGTGAAGAGGTGGCTGGAGAGGAGGCCTCACGTGGACACAGACGGGAAGCGTCCCTGAGGAGGAGGTGAGGACAGGGGTGCACTCTAATGCCAGCCACATGCACCTATCTATCTGCAGGCGTCCTAACATCCACCAGCAAGTGTATGAGAGTGAAAACCTGACAAGTTCAACCCTACCTTAGCACCAACTGATTTAGACAAAAAGAAGTATCTGCTTTCAATGTAAACTTATTATCCAAACAGCAACTCAAACATTTTGCACAGCAAATTCATCTCTTTGTTCTGCATTTGTGGTTTGTCTGAAAACAGAATTAAACCATGCTGAAGAACACGGCCACCTGTGACAGCAGCTAGTCTTTCTAGTCTGCTTAGAATACCCTGGGCAGTGCCACTGTAGTGGCCATTTGATGCTTCAAAATTATTTTTTGTTTAGGTCTATGTAGTTTGTTATAAAGATTTTGGAGCTAGGCTGCCTGAGTGTGTAGCCTGGCTCTACTCATCAGCTGTGGGATCTAAGACCAGGGGCTTCCCCAATCTGTGCCTCAGTTTTCTCATCTGTAACTTGAGGCTAATAACAGTACTGGCCCTAAAGGCTGATTAGGAGGATTAAGTGTATTAATATCTGTAAAGAGCTTGGGATGATGCCCAGCAAGTAGGATGTGTTCCAGAAAATGAATCTTATTACTGGTGTATTCATTAAACAAAACCCCACACAAAAATCTTCCAGAGAAGCACTTGATAAAATACTTGAAAAATAAGTTTATTATAACTAATGAATATAAAATCTGACAAATGTTTTCAAATACTTTTGCAAAAAAAGTAAATCCCTCCCTTGTTCCCCCTCCCCACAAAATACAGAGTATGAACTTGGACAGAGTTTAACATGAAACCTAAACATGAAATTCTCATTTATCCAGTTGATCCTTGAAGGCTCCAACACATTATATCTAAGTAAATGTCCATTAAAATTAAGGAATCAACAAACCACTGGACACTTGCTTTCCACCGTCATTATGATGCTCATTCAAAACGCTGAAGGACAAGAACAGGTAACATAGGACTGCATGTGACAGATATTCAAAGTGCATGGATCTATGAAATCACAACCAACTGAGATGAGAATACTGGGGGCAGAATTAAACACTGACTTTAAAAAGCAATCCAAGGAAATCTATGTACATAGTAGCCTTTGGCATCTGGTCTAATGTGTTTCTTCTTTACAGAGACATTATGTTGTCCAATCTATTAACCAGATTAAATCAACCTTAACAATGTCTCATCTGACACAGATTGTCCACAGCCAATTTCACATGAGGTAGTTGGGCTGCTTACTGACATTCCAGGGAAATTGTCATGACACCGGGGACTCACGCATCAAACATGCCACGAGACTGGCTCATTAGCCTTCTGGGAAGCAACAGAATTACTTCCAGATCACCCTTCTCGTCACAACTGACTCCATAATACAGCTATAAATAGACACAGATATGTGGGAATCTGTGGATGAGATCAGCTTTGCTAGGGGTACCAAGCATCCCAGAGTGGCTTCTGTTTACAAAGTCTGGGAGGAAATACTGATCGGACTTTAAAATACATAAGATAGAAAGCCTAGTGCTTAGAACAAGCAAGGTCTCTTTCCTGTGTTCTCACATAGTGTAGCTGAGAAAGTGTTTACTCTGAAGGAGAAGTGGTTAAAAAGGGTAACCAAAGAATTTGGAAAACTTGTGTTCCGCAGGAGTGCTGTTTTCTCCTTTTGAAATGAAAGGTTATACAGAAATGGTGCAGAAGAAAGATCAACACCTGTGTCACCTGTACTGCTGAGGGTCACTTCCAAGTGCCCTGAGGCAGCAGTGCGATGAGAAATCATGCAGATGGCCTCTGCACACGGCTACTGCCTGTGCCAGGACGGGTCTGGGGGCATTTCCAGAGGAGGTCCAGTGAACAGTACGCTCATGGAATTGCTGAAAGGACCCCTACACCCTATTAATAGATAAACAGTCTTAAAATACTATTAGACAGCTAGTGGGGATTTTTATGACATTATTATGAACCCCTGAGTAAGCAACTGCAGACAATGAAGGGCCGCCTGGAAGCAGAGTGTGTTTCCAAGTAAAGCACTCTACGTGCATGTCACAGGGACATGGGTTACTGTTGACAATGAAGCTCATGTACAGATTCCACCAGATCACAAAGAGCATGGAAGTCAGGCATTCCAAGACAAAACACATTAGCTCAGCTAACAGAACAATGGCTTAGGATGTACTGTACTCATAAATTCTAAATCGAAAAAAATTTTTAAAGGTTGACACTTCACTTGAAAAAAAAGAAATCAAACATGAGGGCAGGAAAGCTGAAGAATTATAAAAAAAAAAAACAAAACTAAAATCAGAAGCAAGTGATTCAGAAATGCACCATCATGTAACCAGCTTCTTATAGTACATGGTCATTTAGTAGGAAAAAAACGTAAGAACAGTTTTCTTCCAGGAAGCTCCCAAAATCACATCTTGTATTGCTCATAACCCTCTGACTTTCCTTACTGACTTAAATGATATTTCTTCTGATTTTTCACCATCAGATTTGGTTTCTTTAATAAGATACCTCTTGCTTCAGCTCTTTTAGTTTACTTCAAATTTAATAAAGAAAAGTGTAATTTATTTATTGGTCCCTACCACAAGCTTTTCCTAATTAAAAACACTTTTCCAAAAATAGGAAACTGAAAACATTAACTTTAGGGATGGATATATGTGCGTGTGTGTAATTAATAATCAAAAAGAGAAGGCTGTAAATCTTTCCAGCAGCATTTATCTAATAACATATCACTTTTCCTAGATGGTACATACCATGTGGTCACCTGCTTCACAGCTATACACTGGGACAGGGGTTCTTTAAGAAGCGCTCGCAGACTAAGAGAGAATCCTCATTGGCTGGGCACCTGACCCCGGCTAGGCCGGTGCCAGATGCTCCACCTATGTGCCAGAAAGCTGCTGCTGAGGAATAGAGCAAAACAGTTAAAAGGGGGGATGGGTTTGGTACTCTGATGAGGGTACTATTCACAACCATTAATAACAGAAGAGGAGAGAGAGGCAGCAGGACTGAACTATGGAGTTCAGATATCCCTCATCATGGAATATGACATTGGGAGGATTTATATTCAGAATGACACAAATAATGATGACAAGGCCCCTGAAGTCAATACTTATACATCCTAACAAACGCTGCCTTTCAAAGTCAATTTCCTGGGGATAGATGTGCTCAACATTCCAAGAGCCCCATTTCTATACTTCCTGTAGAGCTGGATCAAGAGGTGATGAGAAAATCATCTCCACTTCAAAAACACAAGTTGGTTTCTTCCCCAAAAGGTACCCCCTTCTAACTTAGCATTTTTGTCAAGATTAGATACAATGAATCAAATTTGCTTTCAAAGGACAAAAAATTGCAATCATTAACAGGATTTTGTTTTGTTCAGTTAGACAAACATACGTTAATCCCTCCTAAGTGTAAGGCCTGGCTTCTGCCGTTGGAAGAAGTATAGATGTGAATGAAATTATGTGTATGAAAGTACCTTGTGAGAGATTGTTCAAATGCTACTTATTAGCTTCTAATGATACCGAGAAGACACATTACCTTCTATTTTCCTTCAAGATCTCTCTAAAGGTTAATCTAGAAAGGGAATCCTAAAAATGTTTGAGCAAGGTGATTACTCTACCAACATAATACCATTTTCCCATCTCCTCTCACTATCAGAATGAAAGAAAGCTTGGAAGCCCCAGGAATCTTGCGAGGATTCTGGAGAGAAAGGCTTAACTCTTCTTTTCTCTTTGTCTTCTTCTTAGATAGTAAATGGAAATTAGCACAAATTGTGACTTTAAGTAAAATGGAGAAGCAAATAGTAAAGGTCCAGGATAAAGCTCTGACTGTGTCAAGCTTCAGGTCAAATTGAATTTATCATCTAGTATGATGATAATTCAATTTCTAGAGCTTTACACATCTCAGGTAAACTTAACATGCTCCAATAAGGAAAATATCTATTAAAAAACATTACCCCCTTTCTCTAGGGCTGGAAAAGTGTTGAGTAGATAATGTGACTTATTCAAGTTATTCAAGCTTCTCTGACCAAAGATCCCAGATAATATGAAATCTTCTCCAGAAAACTGGGTCATATATGCCAAGGCAGTACCTATATAAATGTGAAATGGTTATGTTGAGCAGCTTTCTTTTTGTGTGTATTCAGAGCCTCGGTGGAAAATCTGAGGTATTTTCCGTGAGCCCACCTCTGCCAGGGACCACAGCAGTTCACCTGAGGTGACAGGAAGCACCAGCATTTGCTCAAAATGGTCATGCTTCACAACACTTACAATCTCCAGGTAGCCTCCTCACCTGATGGCACATTCACTCAACGTAAAGCAAAGGCTGGTGGCTTTTTTCTTCTCTTTAGGAGGCTCTGTGAAGGGCAGGAAGTCTAAATCATCCCCGAGTCCTGCCATCATGCCCACACTAGCCAGAGAAGGAGATGCACACTAATTACTTGTGGGAGTGAAGGAGACAACACACACACCTTGGCAGCTGCCAACAGCAAGTGCTAAGATATGAAAGAATCAGTGTCACTTCAGCACTTTTTGTCTCTCCAGCCTTAAAATATCTGATGCTGTTTTTCTAAAGTTTAAGCATTTTCCACAAGTCCTTATTGTACAGAGTACCCAATTCAATAATTTGAGCTACGTTAGTTGCCCACTCATCTGTTTAAAGACAGACAAAAAGACCAAATCAGTACCCTTCCCCATAGCAACCTCTCACCCAAGGAGAGGGTTCTCTTTGCTCTCGGAGCAGCATCCCCTGGACCCCTCAAGGAACACCACTTCCAGCCGGGGAGCTACCTCGTGCTGGACCTTTACTTCCAGCGACTTTAAGCTAGTAGTCTCTGGCACAGAAGGCACCGGTGGCCTCTCCCCCACGCCCACTCCTGGCAGCCTGGCTTCCTGCGGGACTGAGGCCACAGTCCTGGCATCATGTCACACTCTTTGGGTTGTTTCATGAAAGACTTAAAAATCCCACTTTTAAACTGTGACATGGTCCCAAAGCTCTCGAGACAGATACGCAGCTGCATTTAGCTCATCTGCACTAGTGGCGATTAAGCCAAGACTGGTCAGAGAGCACATTCGAAACTGTGGCCCCTGGGGACAACACCAAGGCCTGCTGGTTCAGTTAAGAAAGTTGTCGAGTAAACTCGCTCCACTTCTCACTCTCCTTTTAACTACTTCACTCCAGTGATAGCCTCCTCCTCTTTGCAAGAAAGGATACATTTAGTTCATGCAGAAGACTGGGAATTCCATAAACTATAATTTAATCTCATAGTTCTTCAACCCTGTTGCACAAGAATACCTTGTAAAATTTATTCAAATTCGAGGTTTATTATCCTGAGTCCTACTCCCACAATTATGAATCTTCAGGTCAAGGTAAGGCCTGGGAATTTAATTTTCAAACAAGTTCTCCATGTGATTTTGATGCAGAGGTGGTCCAGGTCACACATGGAAATCAAAATCACGTGGTTCCTCTATTTAGTGGCTATGTGACTGAGCCTATCCCTTGACCTCTAAACCTTACTTACGAAGTTTAATAATAATCCCTGAATACCATGGTTTTGCCATGATGTCCAACTGAGATGATGCAGGGGAAAGCAGACGGCAACCCCTGTGTGTACTGCACAGGGGTCACCTCAGATGACCCACCCACCTCTCCCGTATTATCCTCCGGCTCGGGGCAAGGACATACCACTCATCTCTTCAGGGCCAGTCTCTCCACCTGTAAATGGGATGGTACTGCTTGGTCACAACCAGTGTACCGGATGTGTTGAATACACAGGTTCTTCTGGCCCACGGAGCCATGGAGAAGAGAATTCTCTGCAGAACATCTAGGAATAGCAAACTCTACATTTTCAATAGCTTCAACAGAGGGGCCTAACTCCCTTGAAAATTTTAGACTAATCTAAGTTGACTGAAATACTGGCTATGAGTTACAATCCTTGATACAGAAAATTGCTCATTTTCAGCTTGGGTTTGGGTGACCCATTAAAACTAAAAGCTAAAAACAAAACATAAAACTAACAAATTCATTTGTCAAATTTGTTCTTATAACTTGCTGTTCACATCTACATAACAGCTATGATTTGGTTTTCCATGAGGCCTTTTGAACTAAATATATAGCACCTTGATTTTTAAACACATGAAACAAACAGCATTGAAAAAATTATATATAAAAGCACTAGGCTTTGCCTTCCCCTCTCCATTCCCCAAGTAAGAGATTGGAGAGAGTTGGAGCTACTGCTGGAAATTTAAGTCGGGCAACAAAACACTTTAGCAAACTTTATTCCCTGAAGTGAGGAGGCAGTGCTACCCTGCAGATGTCATACCACCTCATCAGACTCCAGTCCGTGGACCTCGTATAAAGTGTCCAGTATCGCCAGCTGCTTCTCCATGGCAGGGAGGTAAAGGCTGAGGTCCCTCTGCATCCCAACGCCAAAAGCTGCCTTCTGGTGGTCGCCTTCCTTAATGGTTAACGCAGCCACAAAATCTTCATAGGATGGAGCTGCCCTCAGAGCTAACTGCAAAAGAATTGTTCGTGAAAAGCTGCACCATGACATGCTCTCTTGCGCATTATACCCATGCACAAGCATATGCGTGCACACACAGTCACACAGAGCTGAGGCGAGCAAGAGTGAAAACAGGCACACATTCCTTCAGCTCACGGACTCTTCAATTGTGTTTGAAGAACCAAATCACTTTAAAGCTTGAAGAAGCAGGTGGGCTTGGGCTATCCTGAGGATGAATGATCCCATCAAGTCTTGGGCTATCCTGAGGATGAATAATCCCACCAAGTCAGGGAATGGTGAGAACAGTTTGAGAAAAGCTCAAACTTTCTCATTCACAGTGATCCAGACTCTTCCCGTGGAGTGCTCAGAATGACTTGCACGCATGCTGCTTGCACAGTCTCTGTTGGCACATGGCCAGCCTGGCGGCAGCTCACCATCCTGTTTATATCTCATCTCCACATACTTTCTTTACCTATGTCCCATTCACCCTTATGTAGAGATTTCCTTCGTATTCATGAATATTTTCTAAAAATGAAGGGGGTTAACATTTATGGTTTGCTTGCATGCTGATGCTTTAACGTATTTTATCCCAGCTAATCTTTGTAAGAACCCTGTACAATCTATATCCCTATTTTACATATGGAAATCACACAGCTAATGAGTGCCAGGGCCAGGATCTGAACTTAAGATCATCTCTCTGCTTTTTCAACCACACCACCAACCACACTGCTTCCCTGAGGAAAGATTTCCTAAGCTCCTTACAGCTCCCCTCCCTCTGCAGGCCAACTGTTCCCTAAGCATACTGAAATCTGTTCTCTGTCATCTACTGGTTTGGCTCTACAGAGCTCTCTGGAGGCTTTTTAAATCTTCAATAGATTGTAAAAAATCTTGCAGTTGCTTTCTTGAGCTTCCTTATATTGAAAGCCTTAGAGAATCAACCCTCTCCCTTTCTGCAACTGGAAAGTGACTGGCATTATGCAGTGGTTATAGCACAGCCACTAGGTGAGGAAACCTGGACTTGAATCCCAAATCTTTTACAGGTTAGCTTGAGGAATTTAAGCAAGGGGACTACATTAGAACCTCAGTCTCCTCGTCTGCAGAAGATGACTGATAGCACTTTCCTTATTTGAGGGATTAATGGGACATGCAGAATGTGTTTACTCCACTACCTCGCACATCATAAACACTCAAATAATGGTAGGGGTATAAGGGAGAGCAGAGGACGGAGGAAAAGCAACTGTCCAAAAATAGCATGAGAGAAAATCTCCCAGAACAGAAGGATATGAGTCTCCAGATTTAAAGACCTAGTCAAATGCTTAGCAAAATGAATGATAAAGACCAAAAGGCAAACATGGTGGAATTTTAGAATGTGGGGATAAAGAATAGATCCTAAAAGCATCTAGGAGGAGGTGAGGAGCGGTTTATACACACTAGATTTTACAAGTTTTATAGTAGTAACACTGGAAGCTGGAGAACATCAGAGGACTACCTTCAAAGTTCTGAGAGAAAATCACTATTAACCTAGAATTCTGGTGGTTCATGGTAAAGAATCTGCCTGCAATGCGGGAGACACAGGTTCAATCCCTGGGTTGGGAAGATCCCCTGGAGAAGGGAATGGCTACCCACTCCAGTATTCCTGCCTGGAGAATCCCATGGACAGAGGAGCTTGGTGGGCTACAGTCCATGGGGTCACAAAGAGTTGGACACGACTGAGCAACTTTCACTTCAGAATTCTACACCAGCCAAAGCAACACTCTAGGAAAAGGGGGCAGAATAAAGACAATTTCAGGCATGTAAGAACTCAAAAATTTAGTTCCCTTGCACTCTTTTTTTTTAGGAAGCTAATAGAGTTTGGATATCATAAAAAAAAGGGGGGGATTAGATCAATAAATAGGAAGTCACAGGATTTGGGAAATAAAATTAAGGTGAGGTGGGGACTCAGTATAGGGAAATTTGAGAACAAAAGTTCTAGGACAACAGCAGTACAACAAATCAGACTGGAATAAGAGTTTAGAAAGTTCTGGAAAAAAATATAGATAATCCAATAATAATCCATAATAATCCAATAATAATTGATCATTTTGTGAGTTTGAAATGATGGTGATGTGAGAGAGTTCATGGTACAGGGAAAAACATAAAACTCATATAAGAAAGAACAAAAAAAGTCATAGAATTTTGGCTCATCATCATCATTGTTGACTTGTGATATAATTATACAGGGAAAAGGGAGGTAGTGACAGTAAGGTCTGAGATGGCTAAACTCTAATCCATAACAGAAATCAACATTAATTAAAATTGATAGGGCCACAAAGAAGAGTAAATAGTTTTAGAATTACAGAGGTATTGGAAGAAATAGCCAAAGCATTTGAAAGTTGCAGCCTCTTTTAGTGAGTCTGGGAAGTATGGAAAAAACTGCCGTTTTTTGTTATAATCTTTTTGGACTCTGTGATAAAAAGCAAAATAAAACTATGTACGTGTATTTACGTAAAATAAAAAATGTTTAAAGTTTCTCCAGAGTGGAGCCTACAACAATACATTTCTCAAAGGCTCCTAGCTGAGTCTATTTGGGAAACAATGATAGAACTCAGCTGAAGAGGAAGCCAAAAAAGAGAGCCACAGAAAGGGACAGAGCCTAGACTAGACGTCAGTTCTACAGACCATAACTGTTCGAAGATGAATGTCCAATATTTGGCTGTTAAGTCAGTCAGATTCCGTGAGTGTAAAAGATATTTCCCTGAGCAACCAAGATTAGTTAGATCTTCCCCTGATGATTTTAATCAGGACATCAGAAAACTCAATAAACTTCCCAAAGTAGGGATGACTTGGAGAATAACAGGTGACAGGCTGAAAGGAAGCTCCTCTATTAATAATGCTGTTACCAAATGCTCAATAGAATCTATTTTCTTAAAAATCAGCAAATTTAAAAACTATTGGCAGTAACATCAAGAGTCTTCAAGATGCTCTTTTCCCATAACTTTGGGTGTTATTACCTGACATCCTTGTGTTTCAGGTTTCGTTTATAAGCAGGAAAATAGGAGAACCTACTTCAGAGTTATGAGATTAATAACTTTACATAAGTAAAGCACTTAAAACAACATCCAGTGCACTGTAATTGCTCTAAGTTGGGGTTTTAGTTCTTTGCCTTAGACATAGATATTCTATGGAATATCTTCTAGGAATACTTCTAGGAATACTATGGAATACTTCTAGGAACCTATTTTGAGGAAATAACTGTTTTAGTCAAAAATGCATAAAAACAGATGCCATTTCATCTGTAAAAACAAACTTAGAAGCAACTGAAATTTCCAACACAAAGGTTTGGACATATAAATTACGTTACCTCTATTTTGGGGGAAATATTATGCAATCCCTAAAAATAAGTGGGGATGGCTACAGCTAATACTGCTGTTGGATATAGAGCAAACGTGTTAAAAGAGTAAATTCTAAGAATTCACATCATAAGGAGAAAAGTTTTTCCCTTTTCCTTTCTTTTCTTTTTAATGTATTTGTATGAGAAGATGGATTTAGCTGAACCTATTGTGGTAATCATTTTATAATACATTTAAATCAAACCATCTTGCTGTGTGCCTTAAACATCAATTATTCCTCAATACAACTAGAAAATATAAAAACTAAAAGAGTGGAGAAAAACAATACAAAACCAGCTAAGTGTAAAAAATTTATATGCATATACAGAGTAAGTATACAAAATGAAGATAATTATACACATAAAATAAACATAAAAATAGAAATATCTATTAATAGATATTTATATAAATATACACAATAAATAGAACATTGAAAATAATATGTTAAATATATGAAAATAAGAGCTAAGAAGATAAAACACAAAAATGTTGAAGATGGTTATTATAGAATGGTGAGACTGTGGACAGTTTAAGTTTTACCCTTTCTATTTTCCTATACATTTTGTTTACAATAAATCTAAATTACTAACTAAATAATCTAAATTACTTAGAAAAATGCTATAAGTTAAAATGTCATTTCAAAGACATGCTCATGATAAATTTTCTGCTATAGCTTCATTCTTGCTGGCACTGTCTCCTGGATCATCAATATTTCAGGATTAAACTCTGCCCTCTACTGAAAAAAACAAAAACAAAAAAAAACTACATTTGTTTCTTATAAATGAGGCAACTCAATGTTTCCCTGCTTTTCACCTCACCAAGGGAACTTGGGTGTCAGGCACCTGCAAGCAATCACAGTATTTACTCAAGGAGACTGATGAATGAAGCAGCATCTTTTGCCTAATTTCTCACTAGCAGCTTCTCAATTATTCTGTCTTCACTGTGGAGAGCTGTGATGTGTGGGATGAGCATCAGCCTTGGAGACAGATTTGGGTTTAGACCTGGGCTCTGCCACTGCCTCACTCTGGGACTGAAATGAACAGTTCTGAACTTGTAAAACAGCAGGAGCTAATCCTAAGGATTCCCAAAGATAATAAACATAGAAGTACCTGGCACAGTATCTGATACACGGTGTTAAGTGTCCAATAGCTTCACAGAAGCTATTATTACGTTATTAAACATCCACTGAAGGTAAGTGTGAGCAGTTTGTGGCTGCAACTGGTCTGGCTCCTATTCCAGTGAACAGTAAAATGTTTCATTTTCACTAAAATTTGATTTTTTCCATGATAAATTCCTCCCACTTTCTTGACCTGTCTCCTAAGAAATCATGACCTGAACATTTCTTACCTTAGGCAAATTAGAAAAAGACTTCATCTGCAAGCTATTTTTAATCTGACATTTCCTATTGTACCATGACATGAGATTCAGCCTTTTCATGGCTGCACCTGACTATGACTGACCTCTCGCCCAATGGGAGAATCATAGAACATTACTGCTGACAGAAAGGGGCCATCTGCTCCAGCTATTTTACAAAGCAGGTGACCTGATCTGTTCACCTGAGAACTATGATTCTCAGGTGTGTGTTCTTCCCAGGTCATGCTAGGAAGGAAGGGATAATAGGTAACAGGAGCCAACACACACAAATACAAACACTTCCACAAGGAAAATAATTGGCGAAGAAGAGATTTCCAGTTCTGGCCACTGGCAACCCAGGTCAGTTAATATTCAAAGATACAATTCAGTTTAGGAAAAATGACGGACTAAAATCTGAGAATTACCAGGCCTGACCCTGGCAGGCAGCAGAGGGAGCTATGGGCTTGAAACCACCACCGGTATCCCCTCAGAGGGTGAGCACCTGGCCGCCTCCTGCCTATCTCTAGCATACACGGACACTCTTTACTACCTCATCAGAAAGGCAGCCACTTCTGAGACAAATCTCAGGGTCCCTGGAACTAGATAAGGTGAAGCACACTCTAAGTCTTTTCTTACTGTTTATTGCCAACATTTCCACACTACAGACCTAAAGATTTCAATGAAATAAGCAATGTTTTGTTCTTATTCTCAAAAACAAAGCAAACAGAAATACCACACACACACAAAGCAAAACAAAACACCTTGCTGAGACCATCAGAACATTAGGAGGCAGAAGGCTTACTTACCGCAAAAACTCCTCGAACCACCCAGCCATGGTGTTGCCGTAAAGTTTTACCATATGCATTATCTTGAAAAGAAGAAATACTCCATGAGGGACAATTTCATCAGAATTTGATGTGTTATTTGCATCATGTCCTTTCTAATGTACATAGCAGCACATTCCTTAGGTATTAAAAACTGAGGGAAAAAAGCTTAATTACAAGATTACATACCCCAAAAGTCCTTGAGTAGGAAAAACAAAACCTCCAGAGATTTTTTTTTTTAAAGAAAAATTGATATTTCCACTCTTACCCTGTGTCAATATAGCTGAACGGCAGCTTATTATTATGGTTGGAAAATTCAACACATATAAGGAAGTAAAAAGGAAGGAAAGGATATTGTCATGTGGAGAATATAATTTAAAATACACTATAAAAATAGAAAAATGCAGTTCTTTGAAATGTTGTGTGACCCTGAGCCAGTCCCCTAGCCGAACTCTCTAACCATCTGTTTTCCTCTTTGTAAAATTTTCTCTAAGTATCCCTTCAATTCTAACATTCTATTCTGGGATGTCAAATGTTAGTCCGAGATGTCCCATGACCCTGGATATATAGTATTAAAGCTAGAACTCTGAAAACTATTATGAAAAGAACAGCTTGCTGTTATTAAGCTAGATAGATACAAAGTAACTGGTGAGGCTTATTAATAAGTCAATTCATATTCTAGACTTTAAAGATAAAAACCTATTATTTTTTTCCCACTGAGTTTTAGAAGGAGATTTAAAAACTTCTATATAATAATTTTAATTACAAAAAATAATCTCAAGAACAAGATTACTGCATTTTATGCAAGGGATGTGTTCCTGAAGGCTTTGAATAATTCAATATATGCCAAATTGAAAACTGATTTTTCTACAGGAATAAACATTCTCTCAGGAGGCACAGCTCTATATCACCACAGTGCATTTTTATTTCAATGCTCCATTTTATTTTTTCAGCATCATCTTTAATGGTCTACAGAGTCCTCACACTCCTAAATTATAGCACAGAGTATCACGGGGGTTGTTTGACCTTCTTTATCATGTTTTACCACATCTAAATTTTATTCCAAACTTGTTTATTTTCATGGGCTAGTTTTAGCACTAGTACAAGCACCAATGCCATTTAATCAATGCTTGGGTAACACTGTAATAGGTTACAAAGACATTTTAAATTGTAACAAGAGCAGAGGTAAAAATAATGACAACAACAACAACAACAAAAAACCCTAGACATAAAAACTACCACAAGTCCCTATGCAGCAAAACACAGTGTGGCTCATAGAACTGCCGAAGGACACCAGATATCTGCATTTTACTGAGCAAAACAACCAGGTCGTGTGGCTGCAAGTTTAAACACAGTTTACAATTTATTTGAGTCCTCTAGCTTTGAAATGATGTAATTCTTGTCAATGTCTATTGTTAAAATTAGGGTGAGGCTTCATTAATACTTTTAGGATCAGTTCAGTTCAGTCTCTCAGTCGTGTCCGACTCTTTGTAATCCCATGGACTGTAGCATGCCAGGCTTCCCTGTCCATCACCAACTCCTGGAGCTTGCTCAAACTCATGTCCATCGAGCTGGTGATGCCATCCAACCATCTGATTCTCTGTTGTCCCCTTCTCCTCCTGCCTTCAATCTTTCCCAGCATCAGGGTCTTTTCCAGTGAGTCAGTTCTTCACATCAGGTGGCCAAAGTATTGGAGTTTCAGCTTCAGCATCAGTCATTCCAATGGATACTCAGGACTGATTTCCTTTAGGATGGACTGGTTNTTGGGGGCTCCAAAATCACTGCAGATGGTGACTGCAGCCATGAAATTAAAAGATACTTACTCCTTGGAAGGAAAGTTATGACCAATTTAGACAGCATATTAAAAAGCAGAGACATTACTTTGCCAACAGAGGTCTATCTAGTCAAGGCTATGGTTTTTCCAGTGGTCATGTATGGATGTGAGAGTTGGACTGCAAAGAAAGCTGAGTGCCGAAGAATTGATGCTATTTAACTTGGTGTTTGAGGAGACTCTTCAGAGTCCCTTGGACTGCAATGAGATCCAATCAGTCCATCCTAAAGGAGATCAGTCCTGGGTGTTCATTGGAAGGACTGATGTTGAAACGGAAACTCTTAATACTTTGGCCACCTGATGCAAACAGCTTACTCATTTGAAAAGACCCTGATGCTGGGAAAGATTGAGGGCAGGAGGCGAAGGGGACGACAGAGGATGAGATGGTTGGATAGCAACACCGACTCAACGGACATGAGTTTGGGTGGACTCCGGGAGTTGGTAATGGGCAGGGAGGCCTGGCATGCTGCAGTCCATGGAGTCAAAAGAGTTGGACACGACTGAGCGACTGAACTATCTCCACTGGTTCCCCATCTATTTGCTATGAAGTGATGAGACCAGATGCCATGATCTTCATTTCTGAATGTTGGGTTTTAAGCCAGCTTTTTCACTCTCCTCTTTCACTTTCATCATGAGGCCCTTCAGTCCCTCTTCCCTTTCTGCCATAATGGTGGTGTCATCTGCATATCTGAGGTTACTGATATTTCTCCCGGCAATCCTGATTCCAGCTTGTGCTTCATCCAGCCTAGCATTTCACATGATGTACTCTGCACATAAGTTAAATAAACAGGGTGACATTATACAGCCTTGACGTACTCCTTTCTCAATTTGGAACCAGTCTGTTGTTCCATGTCTGGTTCTAACTGCTGCTTCTTGACCTGCATACAGATTTCTCAGGAGACAGGTCAGGTGGTCCGGTATTCCCATCTCTTGAAGAATTTTCCAGTTTGTTGTGATCCACACAGTCAAAGGCCTTAGTGTAGTCAATAAAGCAGAAGCATATGTATTTCTGGAACTCTCTTGCTTTTTCAATGATCCTACAGATGTTGGCAATTTGATCTTTGGTTCTTCTGCTTTTTCTAAATCCAGCTTGAACATCTGGAAGTTCACAGTTCACGTGCTTTTGAAGCCTGGCTTGGAGAATTTTGAGCATTACTTTACTGGCGTGTGAGATGAGTGCAGTGGTGCAGTAGTCCAAACATTCTTTGGCATTGCCTTTCTTTGGGTTTGGAATGAAAACTGACCTTTTCCACTCCTGTGGCCACTGCTGAGCTTTCCAAATTTGCTAGCATATTGAGTGCAGCACTTTAACAGTATCATCTTTTAGGACTTGAAATAGCTCACCTGGAATTCCATCACCTCCACTAGCTTTGTTTGCAGTGATGCTTCCTAAGGCCCACTTGACTTCTGACTCCAGGATGTCTGGCTCTAGGTAAATGACCACACCATCGTGGTTATCTGGGTCATTAAGATCTTCTTTGTGCAGTTCTTCTGTGTATTCTTGCCACCTTTTCATAGCATCTTCAGCTTCTGTTATGTCCATACCATTTCTGTCCTTTATTGCGCCCATCTTTTTGTTCCCTTTTCATTCACTCAAAAGGGAACTTTTAGCATACCTTACTACAATTTTACACAATTCAAATGTGCATAAAATACATTATATTTTGTATAAAATAAGACTGCACATTTGAATTCTAACAGCAGATTTCCCTGGCTATCTAAAGTTTTAGGAATGGGTTGAAATGCCAGCATCCAGTACGGCAAAGCTAAAGTAGAAATGATAAAAATCAATAAATTCAAGTGTAGAAGGAGCTCTTAGAGAGCCTAAAGGAGAAATTAAGAGTAAATTCAATCTTTTTCTTAGGAGAAGAGTCTGAGTAGGCTAGGGCATTGTCAAAGATATGTCTTCAATGTAAATCACACTTAAACCCTATCTGATTCTCTAAGGGGACACATGTTATCAGAGACATTTTAGAAGGTATACAAGACCTTAGTGAAGAAAGGGTTGTTAGCACACAAAGTGTACCGGTGCAGATGGGCAGGAAATACTAGGCACAGCCTCTGGGGTAAATCAGCAAGACTATCAACTTTCCAAGCATCTACGGAGCCATCTGGGCTGGCAATATAGTGTACACGTCCATGGAAAACATCCAGAGGTGAGTCACAGAGGTACAGTGGGAAAACCGTATTTCTTGTGATCCTCATCCATGTAAGGTATTAAATACCATTAACAATTAGCAGATGAAATTCAGTGGCATTACAATCTGCTCATGGACAGTCACAACGGAACAGCTGCTCTATCAGTTAAGAATTTCGTATGAGCCTACCACACGCCCTTTACTGTGTAAGGCAGCATGGATCTCTGGGTGATTTAAACTGAGGCCCCTATCCTCAGGAAGTTCATGGGCTTTTAAGAGAACCAGTGTTTAACAAATCATTATTATGTAAATTGCCAACTGCTGTAACAGACATCTGTATCTAGTACTACAGGAAAGGAGAGAGGTGAATCCAGCCTGAGAGCATGTGGACAAAGAATTCTCCAGAGGACTCACAAAGGCTGGCTAGGGCAGAGAGGAGGGCGGTGGCTGGAGCTGCAGATGGAGGAAGCTATATGGAGGTGGTAGCAGGAAGGGAGAATCATTCACTAGGGCTGCAGATACTGGAGATCGGGCCAAATTGGGAGGACCTTTTAGTGCCATGTAAAGGGTTCTGAACTTCCCATCTGAAGCACAGTAGTAATTTTAAAAGGTATAAAACTTACTGCTTTTTTTTTTTCTTCAAAAATAATGTGTTCATTGTTAAAAACATGGACAATGTAAAAAGGGAAGAACTAAAGAGATATATAATCATGCCTCCCAGAGATAACCACATAGGGCATTCTAGAGGTATACTCTTTTAAGTCTTCTTTCCTATACAGATAGTATTATTTTCTTCTACTAATAGCCACGATCATTCTAATTTGGGAATTGTGGTGGGGAAGTAAAAAGAAACCCACATTTCTTTACAGTATGTAGCAAACACAGGTGCCTCCTGTCCCGGTCTTTGAGCCTTCAGCTCCAGAGCTTACCTAGCAGACAAACTGCCTGTTTATAAGGGCTCTGGATCCAGTACTTCTCCAACCTCAGGGACTTTATACCTTTCCTACCCTTTGCCAGTGAAGTCAACTACTCAAAAAGGCCCAGAAACCTTTCTTCACGCCCCCTTCTATGGGATAGCAAGAAAACAAGGATGTGGTGAGTCCAAGTAAGAGGGGCAGCCTGGTCTACGGAAGAGAGAGCTTCTACAGCAGCACTATCTCTGTATCCCACCTGGTCCTTCTAGAGGAGGCAGCTGTTCTTTGCTGTGCCTGCATCTTGCCAAGAGAAGAGTTCCACTGGGCAAAACACCAGCCAGGCAGTCTAACAGGAGAAGAGGGAAGCAGAGAATTTCGGCTGGGTCCTGAAACAGGCCTAGGAAGACCACTTCTGCAATTGAAAACCAACAAATAAAACTCATAAAGAAAAAGACTTGACCAAAGTCCTTAGGTGACTTCTAGGGCTGCACACATCTCTGCCACGTGAGGATGCATTAAATTAGGATGAAGTCTATAAGCCTGACCTATTTTGGTTACCTAGAGAAGATTAGAAAATGAAATACATTAATCTTCACTGAACTACCCATTCATTATCATAATGCATGTTCTATAATCTGGAAGTATTTTTGGCCTCTGAAAGACATAAATGATTCCCTTCTTCCAGTTCTTTTAAATGTGTCAGTTCCTTAGAAACTAAATCAAAATTTCTGAGTAGGAAGCACTGACAATCACCTTGCCCAACTCTTTTCTTTTTATAGATAAAAAAACCAGAAGACCCAGAGAGACAGTTACCTGCCCAAGGTCACAAAACTAAAAGCAATGAGAACTTAGGACATTCCTGTCACATTAAAGCATTCTGACAAAACTGATGTTTATTCTCTGTTATAAAACAAAATAATGAAAATGAAAAATGTGCCTTTTCCCAGCCGTATCTTGAAAAAAATTGGAACCTTATTCTATTTATGGAAACAACGCTGATCTCATTTTTTTAAATGGTTAGTCAAAACCTTTCTACGAAGTATTTAGAAATGATGCTTCAATCCATTACAGCATCTGAGTACCAACAACCTTTCCATTACTGCTGATAGACAGCTATTCTGTCCAGAAGCAGAATGCATGAGAATGTTTATTGTAAATCTATAACTAGTAAGGACTTACAAAGTTACTTTGGGTTGTACAGAGGACAATGGAGAAATACAAATCCAAGTTTTAAGACAGCTTGAGAAGCAGACAAGTAAAGACAGGAAGCGTGGCATCAATCATTCACTGAGCTCAGGAAACACGAATTATCTCAATTCTGTAAATGAGTTAAATTAGGAAGTCCTCAGACAAGAATCATGAACAAAGAAAGATTTGAAAGTGAATAAGCAGAAAACAGAGTGAAAAAGGAATAATGTGTATAATGTGACACCATGTATATGAATTTAAAACATGCAATATAATATAGATACTGTTTATGGACACATAAATATATAGTAAAAGTATAAAAGCATTTATTATATAATAATAAACTACAAATTCTGAATGAAGATCTTCTCTGGAAGTAATGGGGTCATGAGGTAGTAGGTGGATTGTGTTTATATATTTGTCCAAATGATAAACATTTGATATAATTTAAATGGGCTTTCCAGGTGGCACAGCAGTAAAGAATCTGCTTGCCAAGCAGAAGACACAGGAGTCATGGCAGGATCCTGGGTCGGGAAGATATCCTGGAGTAGAAAATGGCAATCGGCTCCAGTATTCTCACCTGGGAAATTCCAAGGACAGAGGAGCCTGGCGGGCTACAGGCCACAGGGTTGCAAAGAGTTGAACGCAACTGAGCACACACACCAAAAGACCTACTACTAGGAAAACCCCCAAATTCTATAAAGTGACTAAGTTTCAGGCAAAATGAATAGTGTGGAGAAAAGCTGACTTAATAACCAGTTGACAGAGATAGAACAAGTACCCAAAGATATCCTGTATTACCTTCAGGCACCATGGAGATGAAAACTCATACTGTAAGCCAGTTCTGCCATTAGAGCACATGTTGTGAATAGTTCTGAAGATGGCATGACTTCATTCACATGTCCCAGGACTTTCAGAACAGTTAGATCAAGTTATGATTTGATGTCAAATATCTAACTACAAGTTCTGATTTTCTCTCTCAGATAGCTCTCCTTATTTGTGAAAGGCTTTTATATTAACTGTATAACTGAGTATCCTTTAATTTTTTTTTCCTATTCTGTGCTAGAGATTTTGGTTAGGTTAATGTTTATATGACATTTATGAAATCATTTGGAGGTGAGGGATGTGGCAATACGCTATCCTGCTGAGGGAGCAGTGCACAGCATATAACATTTAGTACAATGGTGCATGAAATGGCAGAGCAACTTTTCTTCCTTTCAGTTACAAGGATGCTTTCTGAAGCCTCTTTTTGATGTGGCATCTGTGAACGGAAGGGGCTTAGCTACAAGGTGGATCATTAAACACATTTGCTTTGTGTACCCAACTCTTTCCTTAGAATGATCTCTAGAGAATATCAGAGGACACCAGAGTTCAGAGCACCTCTTGGCATGAGACCACCCAAAACATTCCACTCTGATCATCACTATGGGGGAATCCAAGAGATGGCTCAAATGCAAAGGGGGGCAGTGTAAAGCTGATGGCCTCCCTCCAGATGCTGAAAACTCATCCTAGGTCACAGAACTGCAGCAATACAATGACTATACATGCATTTTCCAGAAAGTTAATAGATGTTACTGCTTTCATTTTGTCATTTCCAACTTTTACATATCTCCCATTTTTAAAGCCAATAAGACTATGCAAATTTTATGAGCATTTACCTCAAAACCTGTCTTAGGCAGTAGATTTCAAATTTGGGAGTATCATCAAGGTTTATCCTTAATTTATCCCCATTAATTTTCCTACTGTTCCTAGGTTAGGAAAAATTTTCAGGCACTGGATAACCAGTCCATTATCATGTAAAGGAGGCAAAATTAACTGATACTATGGGTAACTAGTTTCAGTACTTTTACTCCTGCTTATTTAATAATCATTTAGAGGCAGTCAAAATTCCCAAATAATCAAATGTAGCCTAGCAACACGTGAGCTTCAACATCCCAGCTCCGGATGAATGAGTTTCAAATTGTAGCATGGATTAGAATCACTTAAATGACTTGGGATCACACACACTGTTGGGTCCATTTCAGGAGTTTCTGAGTCAGCAGGTGTCAGGTGGGACCCACTAGCCTGCAATTCTAATAAGTTTTCAGATGCTGCTGTCCTTGGACCACTCTGAGAACCACTGGTCTGGATCTGGGACCCTAGGGAAAGTACTTATCTTCTCTAAAGTTTAGTTTATCACTATAAAAGGGGAGTACTCAGATTAAGAAGATGTTTATGAAGAACCTTGTGTCATGCCAACACTGAGTGCTCTATAAATGGTAGCTGTTATTACAATAACTCAAATTCAATTTTAGAATGAAAAAATGTAAGCTAATTTGCCTGTATATGTCATATAAATTACACATACCCACTCTTTAACCTATATACCCAAACCACCTCATTTTAGATAAAAGTTCTACATACATACCCACTCTTTAACCTATATACCCAAACTAACTCATTTTAGATAAAAGTTCTACTTATAAAAGCTATTATTTCAAAATGAGAAAAAAGAAACCATTAGTCTGAAGAAATATGCATCAAGGAGCCTATGGGTTCTGAGTGGTTAATGTGTAACATTTCTTATAAAGCTCTATTTGTTTGCACAAAGCTTGTTGTGTCTGTGTTCAGAGGGGAGGGGGTGGTTAGGGGAGCTTTCTTGCTCCACGTTGAACCGCAGCAGGAAACTAGGAATCCCTGTAAGCAAAGATATTTTAAATCATGAAAACCTCTGAAATAATCCTAAGCATCAGGATGAAAATCTCAAATTTACAGTCCTCCTTTCCTTTTCACTAAAAGTAGTCCAGCAGGGAAGAGAAAGAAGGAAAAGTTGAGACGGGCTGTGATTATTTCAGCTTTGAAGCAGCATTTACCCTTTAAGTCTCCTCTCTCTTCACAAAGTCAACATCTCTGGGCCCAGTCTCCAAATAAAAGGTAGGGGAAAAATAGGGATGGGGCAGGGCAGAAATGGCATATCCTCAACTTCCTCTCGACCTCCAAGGTAAGCAGCTGGGTTCTCCTCTATCCTAGCTCCAGCAGAGGAGTAATGAGATCAGCATCCCGCACTGTCCCTCACACAGCCAACAATCACAAAGCAGTAGCATCCTGTGACAAGTAGAGTGCACCACCAGGCACCCAGTGCTGAATCCCATACCATCTGCATTTTCTTGCAGGTGGAGGTGGTGGAATCTTCCCTCCAGTGTGAAATTTCCATACTAAGAAGTCAATCTGGAGGGAAATTTCCAGCTTAGCAACTGAGCTTTGTAAACTTTCCATTTCTGATTTGGGACAAATAAGCCCCATTTTCTGGTAGGTTATTAACTGTGCATATGTCATGATGATGAGAATATAAACAGCAATAGAGTTAACCTCTGTTAAGTGCTTACTGGGCTTCCCTGGTGGCTCAGATGGTAAAGTGCCTGTCTGCAATGCTGGAGACCCAGGTTCGATCCCTGGGTTGGGAAGATTCCCTGGAGAAGAAAATGGCAGCCCACTCCAGTACTCTTGCTTAGAAAATCCCATGGACCGAGGAGCCTGGTAGGCTACAGTCCATGGGGTTGCAAAGAGTTGGACAGGACAGAGCGACTTCAGTTTCAAGTGCTTACTATATGCCAAATTTCTAATCTTTTCACATGCATAAATCTACTTAATCTTTACAACAATCTTATTAGGGAAATCAAATCATCATTCCCATTTTATAGATGAGGAAGCTAAGGCACAGAAAAGTTAAGTAAATTGCCTAAGGGCACAATACTATCCAAAAAGTCCATGATCTTAATCACTCCACAAAGTCATAAAATTTGATAGATACTGGTTAGGGGGTCCTAACTGTCATGGTGAATATACTTTTAGTACTGAAATCAGGACATACAATGGACAATATAATTGATACTGTCTTCGAAATTCAAGTATGAATGAGAAGCCCCAAAATGCAGGTAGCTCAGGGATGGTGGAGAAGACCTTTTGTGGGAAGAATGAAGACCCTGGAGACAGCAACCCCAAAGTGACCCTGCTCCAGATCCTTTATGGTCTTAGCAAGTCTTTTAATCTTTCAGAATTTCTATAACCTGACCTGTAAAAACAGATCGATGTTAGGATTAAGTTATCTAAATTTTTAATACAATGTTACAGAAATATCAGCTTTATATTGTTTCATGGCACATTAGCAAGTTTCCAGACAGGGGAGCCTAGGAAAATTATGTAGGGCTCATGACACATAAGGATTTATTTAAGAAGAACTGACTTCTTTAAAATATTAGGTTTTCCTATTAAAAGATGGTTCTCTATTAATTTAGCTCTTCTTTAAGACAAACTGATTTTTAATAAGTTAGATGTAAATTACCAGGTCATTATCTCATGGGTTCTTTTTTAACAAAGCACATAAGAAACAATTAATAATAATGAAATGGAAAAGAAACAAAATCAAATCTTGAAAAGCACACCCTGTCTCCTCCTCCAGGGGTCTCCATTCCACATCCTCTTCAATTAATCAATCAAAATGTAGAGAACACTTACTCAGGGCTGTCTGGATGTCCTTTTCTCCATTTTTCACTTCAGTCAAAAATCCTTTCAAAAATTTGAGACCTCTAAAACAAAAAAAAAAGGAGGATATATTATTTCCAAAGTTCACTTATATTGAATAGGTATGAAAAAATGGCAGACATAAGCTTCTTTTTCAACAGTATCTTGGGCACAACAATAAACAGATTAAGTCACATGGCTGTCCTTTTTGTTTCTTCCCTGTGATTTCCCTTTAGCTTGCTCTAGATCATTCTTATCTGAAATACCTAAACAGTGGTTTTCAGAATGTGGTCCCAAGACCAGCAGCTTCAGCATCATCTGGAAACTAGCCAGTAATGCAAATTCTGGGGCCCCACTCCAGACCTGCTGAACCAGAAACTGTGGGTTTTGGGTGGGGCAATCTCTGTTTTTTTCAATAAGCCCTCAAGGTGATTCTGATGCTGTTACAGTTTGTGATCCACTGACTTAAAGACAAACTAATCAGCTTTACTGTCCTTTATGATTCCTATCTTATATATTCTATTAATATGAACAATGTTTTATCATTATCAAGACAGAGGCAAAAAAAAAAAGTTGGCATTCTATTCATCAGGTCTTCTGTACAACTGCGTTCCAGCCTTCACTTAGAAGTAGCCTCCTTCACCTAACAATTTTATTGCAGGTAACATTTCAACGTGACTAGATTTCACCTGCTGCCCCACCCCGGCCACCTCACCTCTTCAGCCACAGGAGGGCTTCCGTAGCTGAGTTCCTAACCTGGGCTACATCGGCCTCCACTTCGTGTAGCACTATCTTCTGGAGTGTGGTAAACTCTTCTTTGTTGGTGATATACTTCTGGTTTACTTTCTGCAGGAAAAGCAGAGAAATAAGTTTAAAGTGCTAAAGCTACCAAGCAAGTCAGTTTACATAAGTTTGTTAAGCAGGCCTCTGAGAAATTAAAATATATTAATATTTTATAATATTATATAATATTATAATTACAAATATATATTAAAATAAATTTTTTAATTAAAAAAAATTTTTTTTTCCATTTATTTTTATTAGTTGGAGGCTACTTACTTTACATCATTGCAGTGGTTTTTGTCATACATTGAAATGAATTAGCCATGGATTTACATGTATTCCCCATCCTGGTTCCCCCTCCCACCTAAATAAATTAAGCCTCTATTACCTTCTTCTTTATGTTTTCCAAGTAATCTGTTTTATTTGTTTGAGAATTCTTATTGGGTTTAAGCCAGATTTAAATAGTTTGAGGGTTTTAAGGTACTGTTTTTAAAGTATTTTTTTCTCCTGTGAGAAAGGTTCTTACAGCTGGCCTATGCTTTTCATCCTGAGTATAAACTCAACAACTATTTGTTTTTGAATAAGATTTCATGCAACTACTCCCTCCAAATTAAGTCTTCAGAGACAAGCTAGTATACTCACTTTAATATTTCCAACTAGATCCATCTTAACAGGAGCAAACACCGTAGGGCCAAGTTTGTCTAGAAGAAAAAATTGAGAACATCATTGAAAAAGCAATTTTTTCAAGTGGAAAATAAACTTAATGGATAACACCCCCAACTTTCATTTTTTGCTTTTAAATCATTTTCTAAACATAAGCTTCAAAGATTTCTGGGACACTGTCATTACTTTTTTCTACTATACTGCTCTTGAGTAACTACAATGAGGCCTTAAGGGCATGTGAGGATAATCTTGTAAGTTGAGAATGTATATTGTAATCCTTAGGGCTGCACTGTCCAATATGGTAGCCGGTAGATATGTGGCTATTGAGCACCTGGCAATCAATGTACCTATTCCAAACTGAAATGTGCAGCAAGTATAAGTATACCAGACTTCAAAGACTTAGTATCAAAAAAAAAAAAAAGGGTCATTAATGATTCTTTTATACTGAGTCCAAGTTCAGATGATATATTATATACACCAAGTTAGATAAAATACATTATTAAAATTAGCTTTATCTGTTTTGCTTTACAAATTTAATATGCCTGCTAGAAAATTTAAAATTATATATAGTAGCTTAAATATTTTTGTTGGAAGAGCAAATTAAAAGAAAAAAAATAACACAGAGTATAGCTAAAAAGACAAAACGTAATAAAATTCTAACATACTTGACTCATCCAAAAGAAAAGCAGGATCAAAGGTAGCTAAAAAGCTAAAAGAGGAAGTAAAATAGAACATGAAAAAATAATTGACTAATTGTCTAGAAATCAAGAAAGGAGTACACAAGGAAAAATATATGAGACAAATACAAAATAAGTAGCCAAGATGGTAGAAACAGCAAGATAGAAGGCTTAAATTCATCCAAACAATGTAATTTATAACATTAAGTACAGGAAAAAATAATTTCAAAAAACACAGAAAATACATTTTATAAAACTAACTCATCCATGATTATAAAAAACTATTCAGTACATAAGTCAACTGTATCTGTATGCTATTAATGAACAATTAGAAAATTATATACTTCTCCTGATAGCATACAGAAACATAAAATTTTAAAATCTATTCATAACAAAAGATGTGTAAGAGTCTCATGCCCTACCGACTGAGCTAGCTGGGCAGCTTCAAAAGATGTGTAAGACCTTTACACTATACAAAACATTGCTGTGAAAATAAACACCTAAGGAAATGGAGAGATACGGCACATTCATAAAAGACTCAATGTTGTTTGAGATATCAATTTCCTAGTAACTGGTTACAGACTCAACTGAATCCCAGCAGACTTTTTAGTAGAAATTGAAAAGCTCAAATTCATATGGACATTCAAAGGACCTAGAATTGCCAAACATCTTGAAGAAGATGATTTACATTATCTGATTTCAAACCTTACAACTGAGGCACAGTAATTAAGATACTATAATTCTAGGGTAACAAAAAACAGATTATTGAAACAGAAGAGAGTCCAGAAACAGATCCACACTTACGGGGTCAACTGATTTTCAAAAAACTGCCAAGTAACGAAAAAGGGAAAAGATGCTTTTACAATAACAACAAAAAAATGGTTCTTGAACAACACGGTAAAGGAAAAGAAAAAAAGGAATCTCAACCTTTACCTCACACCACATAGAAAACTAATTTCAAGATGGATCATAGATGTAAACATAAAAAATAAAGAGTGTAGAAGACAACACAGAAGAATATTTTCATGACCCTGAGGATAAGCAAAGATTTCTTAGGATATTGCAAGTACTAATTATAAAAGAAATAAAATAAATCAATTTAATGAAAATTAAAAACTCCACATTGTTCAAAAGGCATCATTAAAAAAAGAAGCAAGCAAGCCATAGTCTGGGGGGAAATATTCATAATGAGAATGTCTACAATGAAACATTGTTCAGAACACACAAAGAACTCTTTCAACTCAATAATAAAAAGAAAACTAACCAACTTTTAAAAATAAATTAAAGATATGAACATACTGCACGAAGGAAGAGACAATAATGGTTTATATATGAAAAAGTGCTCAACATCATTAGTCATCGGGGAAATAAAAATTAAAGCCACAACAAGGTACCACTGAACACTCACAGGAATGGCTAAAACCAAAAATACTGACACCATCAAGTGCTAGTGAGGACGTGAAGCAATCAGAAGGACATACATTACTGTTAGACGTGCACAACGGTACAACTACTCTACGAAGTTAGAGGTACAAACCCTATGAATCAGCAATTCCACTCTAAGTTATTAAGAAAAATGAAAACATGTGCCCACAGATGCAAAAATATTAAGAGCAATTTCACTTATAATAGCCCCAAACAGGGGCTTCTCTGGTGGCTCAGTGGTTAAGAATCCACCTCAACGCAAAAAACATGGGTTTGATCCCTGGATCAGAAAGATCCCCTGGAGAAGGAAATGGCAACCCACTCCAGTTTTACTGCCTGGGAAATTCCATGGCCAGAGGAGCCTGGCAGGCTACAGTCCCTGGGGTCATAAAAGAGTCAGATATGATTTAAGAGACTAAACAACAACAAAGCCCCAAATAAGAAATTATCCAAATGTCTATCAGTAGAAGACTGAAGAAACAAATTGGGGTATACTCCCTTAGCAGAATACTATTCAGCAATAAAAAGGAATGAGTTACCAATAAACGTAACAACAAAGATGAAAACTTCACACAAAGAGTGTAACGCAAGAGTACGTAAGTGATTCCACTTATTTGAAATCTTAGAACATGCAAAACTAACCTACAGTGACAGAAAGCAGTACGGTTGCTTTGGGCTGGGAGACAGTTTGGGGACTGACTGCAATAGGGGACATTCTGGGATAATGAAAGCATATTCTGTCTTGTAGAGGAGTGGATTACACCAGTAGATGCCTTTGTCAAAACTCATTAAATTATAACAGTTAAGTTCTATGCAAAATAAACCTTGACTTAAAAAAAGAGATACATAGCTAAAATGGATTCTACAGCAAACTTTAACACATTAGCAATTTCTGGTATTACTGGCTCTATAAAAAGTCAATAGAATTTAAACTTAAAGTTTTATATGTCATGTTTTTTAATCTGAAAAAATGTTTTAGGTGGTAAAATGCATTTTCATAGTGTTGTTGCTGTTGTTCACTTACTAAGCTGTGCCTGACTCTTTAGGACCCCATGGACTATAGCATGCTAGGCTCCTCTGTCCTCCACTATCTCCCAGAGTTTGTTCAAATTCATGTCCATTTTCATACTACTAGTGGATTTGAAGATCTGTTCCTCAACTACTAATACTTTCACTTTTGCTCTTAAATATGATTTCTAGAAAACAGAATTCCCTTTTTTCATTACACAGCTCTGGGATCATTATTAATCATAATTAGAAATGAAATGGAAATATGTGATAATGTTTAAGGTCACACAGTTTTAACTGTATGTGGCTGGTGATATAAAGAGGTAGATAAGAAGGGTCATCTAACTGTACACATAGTTCAGTGTATTTTTACTACAAAATAACTTCATTGAAACAGATTTCAGAGACTAATGAATTTAAGGCAAGTCTAGCAATCTTACCTAATACTGGAACCACAGCATAACACGATGCTAAGAATGCTTCTGTGGGAATGCCACTGTCTTCCAGAAGTTCAATGTCACTAAAGCTAAACAATTTAGTGATACAAAGGAGGAAAGATTGAAAATACAATATTAGCGTGCTCTGCAGTTCATAGGCAGTCATGAAAACAGCTAAGCCTCTGAGAACACATCAATTAGGCTTATTCACAAACACGACCCACCCAGTGACTGTTTTCCTATTATAACACAGTCTAATAAAATCACTTTCCAAAGACAATTCACCAAAGCAAGCTAAAACTTGTTGACAGCATATATTCTTGCAATCCAACTCCTTCTTATCCACTGCTTCAGACAAGGTGAACAATAAAGCAGACACATGGTACGTCACAATCTCTATTCTGGAGGAAGACTGGTATCCAAATGTCAGTGATGTGAAAGAGTAGAGAATACCATGAATACCTGGTGTTCATGGTACTAAAGAAAGTTGGGATAACTTCTTGGTCTTCTTCCCAATGGGATTCTGGAGAGCTGTTGGTGGAGTGCAATTCAGGCTGTGCCAAGTCGCTGTCATGATTTCCCAGGCTTTCCTCTCCATCTTCCTTCATCATTTCACCTTGGACTGTATAGCAGAAGATACCTATTAGTAACCTTTATTTAGTACAAAGATTAATATGTATACATATTCAATGTTGAACATTTCTAACACAGCAAAGTATAAAGAAAGAAAAATCAATGAGTGAAATATTACACATCACACACACAATTGGGTTTAAATATATGTAGATTTTCATCCAGCTTCTTCTCACTGATATCATAAATGTTTTCATTATCACTCAATAATTTCAAAACATGATTTTAATGATCATGTAATACTGCATCATGCTTATGTGGAGGGCATTTAGGTGGTTTCTAAAATTTTAGTATTATAAATAGAGTTAAGCCTCATTATTAGTGTATTCTATCTTTGCAGATTTGCTTGCCTGTTTATTTGTAATACTAAAATCAATGCGTATGGCATTCTTGCAGTCATTCTAGATATGTACAGAGTGGTAAAAAAAACTGAGTTACCTCACACACATGTTCCCAGCTGAAGCTAAACAAGGTGATACTGCCTTCTTGTTTCACCTTTCATATTGTACACAAATGTGTTTATTTAGTGCCATGTTTTTTGCATTTGTGTGCATTTCATTGTTGATTTTGCTGTTTAAAAGGCCCTCCAAGGGTAGTGTTTTCTAGTGTTCTAAGCATAAGAAGGCTGTAATGTGCCTTATGGAAAAACACATGTTATTTAATATATAAGCTTATATAAGATAAACTTTGTTCAGGCATGGGTTATAGCGCTATGCTGTGGGTTCAATGTTAATGAGTCAACAATATAAACACAGTGTCTTTTTTTTCCCTTTGGGAGGAGGGTTATTTTTTTCTTTTCTTTCTTTTTTAAATTTTTATTGGAGTATAGTTGATTTACAATGTTGTGTTAGTTTCAGGCATACAAGCAAAGTGAATCAGTCATATATACACATATCCATTCTTTTTTAGATTCTTTTCTCATATAGGCCATTAGAGAGTACTGAGTCGATTCCTTGTGAGATACAGTAGGGCTTTATTAGTTATCTATTTTATACATGTGCACGTGTGCTGAGTCATTTCAGTCATGTCCGACTCTCTGTGATTCTACAGACTGTTAGCCCCCCAGGTTCCTCTGTCTAAGGGATTCTCCAAGCAAGAATACTGGAGAGGGTTGCCATGTCCTCCTGCACGAGATCTTCCTGACTCAGGAATCAAGCCCGTGCCTCTTACGTCTCCTGCACTGGCAGATGGGTTCTTCCCCACTAGTGGCACCTGGGAAGCTTTTAAGAACCTAACCATGTGTTTCCCCTAGGAGCAACGGTTCAATATTTGCTAGTTTAGGGTCTGCAGTAACTGTATAGAGCACAACTACCACGAATGATGAGAAGTGACCATAACGTCATAAAGGGCATCCCTGTCCACAGATAACTGTCCTTAGATCCACTATTCCCTGAGGACAGATTCCTAGAAGAAAATTACTGGGTCAGATAAACAAGAGTACTGTTTTAACTGAAATTCTCCTGTCTTTATTATTTACTCAAGGGATAAGACTTCGGTGATGTATGGATTGCTAGGTGCAGATTAAGAGCTGTAAAAATGCATCTTTTCTTCCCCCCACTCACCAGACGAGATGAGGAGAAAACTTTTTAAAAAATTTTATTTTCAAACTATTTAGTACTTAAACAATTAAAAGCTCTAAGATGGTTGTCATGGACTGAAGTTGGTTTTAGTGACTAGAGACAATGAAATTAGTAAATCCAAAAGGGCAGCATTTTCAACTACAGGTTATTACTTAAATTTGAAATTTGGTTTGATGAACACAGTGAAGGCCAGGTGAAAATGGGATGGTGGCTGGTGAATTCTGTCATCCTCAGGCCTCATCAGAAATCAGGAGCATGGAAAACTGAATTGCCATAACGTTGCAGACCCTTAAGTTTCACATCATAGTCTATGTTCAAAGGACTGAAATTCTGAGAAGGCTCTAATACTCATACTCTTAAAAAGTCAGCACAGACAGCTACAGCTCACTGAAGCCCATGAACATCACAGCTAAGAACAGTGAGTGGGAAAATCCCTCTTCATTCTGCTTTCTCAACACAGGGGTCAGAAGGGATGGCAGAATGTGTCATGTGACCTGTGTTATCTAACCAACATCTGCCTTAGGAGCTACCTGGCATACGGTCTTGAGGCCAATCTCTATCAAGGATCACATCATGGATAACGAATCAAACCCCCACGATCCTTTCAGTCAATGGTTTGCTTCATATCTTTTTTGTTTTTACCTGTTACATTATCATCTGTATTTTCTTCACTTGATATGCTGCAATCTGTCTCTGCAGGTTTCAAACATAAGGAGCTCTTGTTTCTCACTAGGATTTCTTCATCATCATTTATTTCCATATTTAAAGATCCATTTTCACAACTGTTTAACTCCATTTGCCTAAAATTTTTTAATAGGAAAAAAGTCCAATTACTTGGTCATAAATAGACTGCACAGATGATCTTATTCTGAGGGTTGGGGGGGAAGGGTTCAAAATTACCAACTTCTTTTAACACTGATTAAAAAACAGAATTGCTAAATCAAGCCAAATCTCTCACCCCACCCTCCTGCTTCCAAGACAGGTATCCTCCTGTGTTGGGAGCAGGCCTGACTCCAGGCTGAAGTTCAGAAACCATGAATGGCTCTTTTTGTACCCTAAGCTTACTCAAACTTCCTGCTCCCCACCAGCAACAGGAAATATTCACTGACAGCTCTTTGGTTTTCAAACAACTTTTCTACAGCTACCATATTTAACACTTTTCTTACTTTCCTCAGCTTCTCCCTGGGAGGTTTTTTCTATTCTCAGGTCTCAAATCACTGACTACTTCCATTTGTTTGCCTAGCAATTAACTGACTAGAAGCCACAAGTTGTGGTCCAGGAAGACAGAAAAAACTTGGGAAACACAATACATCCTGAGAAATCTGTTGCTCTTAGGGTAACAGAAAAGGCTATTCAACATGCAAGTGAAATAGCTGATTCCGTTTAAGGGACAATCATAACACCTTACACCCCACTCCAGCACTCTTGCCTGGAAAATCCCACGGACGGAGGAGCCTGGTGGGCTGCAGTCCACGGGGTCGCTAAGAGTCGGACACAACTGAGCGACTTCACTTTCATTTTTCACTTTTCATGCATTGGGGAAGGAAATGGCAACCCACTCCAGTGTTCTTGCCTGGAGAATCCCAGGGACGGGGGAGCCTGGTGGGCTACCGTCTATGAGGTAGCACAGAGTCAGACATGACTGAAGCGAATTAGCAGCAGCAGCAGCAGCAGCAGAACACCTTATAAATAACCCAACTCAGCCAAATTAGAACAAAGACGCTTTCCTCTAGGGGGTTTCCCTGGTGGCTCAGATGGTAAAGAATTTGCCTGTAATGCAGGAAACCTGGGTTTGACCCCTGTGTTAGGAAGACTCCCTGAAAAAGAGAATGGCTATCCACTCCAGTATTCTTGCCAGTACTATACTAATAAAAGGGAATTATACTAATTAAAGGGAAAGAAAAAACAGAATAAAGGGAAAAGGTCCAAGCTATGTGGTGATTCCAGAAAAACCATTTGTTTTGTAAAAAGACACTATATTTCTCAGTAGTTAAAAATATGAGTATATATTGATGAAATACTTCAAAAGAAAAAAAAATCTACAAAATGTTCCTTGTAGAAATATTTAGATCAAGAGAAAATTGTTAACCAAACTGAGGAACAATCTTTGTACTAAAGAAGCAAACAGTATATAAAGAGATGAAATATTAAATTATAACTTGAAAAGACAGATACACGGACTATGTCAAGATATGGAAATGCTTATATGAAATAATAACCAAGTAAAGACCTTGTTTAATAACTGGAACACAACTGTGTAAATATATACTTTTTTCTAATAATTCAGATTTTGATATTACATCCTTTTTCCAACCTGTAAAGCTATCTTTTTATTTTTAAAAAAAATAGCACTGTCTTTCCTGATACGTGAAGTGAAGTCGCTCAGTCGTGTCCAGCTCTTTGCGACCCCCATGGACTGTAGCCCACCAGGCTCCTCAGTCCATGGGATTTTCCAGGCATGAATTCTGGAGTGGGTTGCCATTTCCTTCTCCAGGGGATCTTTCCAACCCAGGGATCAAACCCAGGTCTCCCGCATTGTAGGCAGATGCTTTACCGTCTGAGTTACCAAGGAAGCACACTTAAATCAATGCTCAGCTCCTCCACAAGAGAGGAGGTTCCAACACTCAGGCACCAGAGATATGAAAAGTTACTAAACAAGATGCATGAGATCCATATCCTGGGGAAATGCAAACTTCTTCACTAGTAGTCAGTGTTGAGTCAAAGTCTGCATTGCTTTAGGCTCACCCAAAAGAGACACTGTCACCCAAAAGAGATACCCAAAATCAGATACTGTTTCCCTTGGTATCATCTCAAACCACCAGAAAAACCACCACATGATAAAAATATTCTTAAAAAAAAAAAAGGAATACCAATATCCTTTTTTTAATATTTCTAGAAAGAAGAAAAAACAAAAACTGTTACTGTACCTTTCCAATGAATTATGAATCGGTACAATAGGATGTTTCATCTTTAAAAGAAGCAAAGAAAAGAAAGTTCACATGTTAAAACTCCCAATAGAATATATTTAGAGTTTTATCCCATATGAGAGTGGTAAATATGATCATAACACACACTACCCTATTCAAGAGGAATCACTTTAGGTCCCGCCAAAAGAAAGGAGTCACTGAACCCAACCAGTCTTTCACAGTTATTCAAATAAGGGTACCCAAATTTCCAAGAAAAAGGAAAATGGTCTTTTGAAGGACCTAAATACTATATTCAAATGCTTGGCTTTCTTGTAATTACAATTACACTCATTACAATATTATTAAATGCCAAACTATGATACAGTACTTCACCAAATACTGGAAGTATAAAGGTTCACAGTATAGAGTTCTTGCCCTCAAGGTAATTTCAATTACCTTGAAACTACCTACAGACTGAGGCTAAAACAGGGGTACGTGTAGAGGAGGAACTCTTAGCCCAACTAAGGGATTCAAGGAAAGAGATTAAATTTTGAGGGATGAGTAAAAGTTAACCAGGGAAAGACATGTGAGAAGGGCATTCTTGGTACTGAGAAACGGCCCAAAGTGGGGGAGCTATAAGCAGTTAACAGGTTTAAACCTGGTTATGACAAAAAAAAAAAAAAAAAGGTTAGTGATGTGGGAAGCAACTAAGACATTTTGACTTTAACCTGTAGGCAACAAGGGAATCACCAAAAGTTTTAGGTGGTCCGATTTACACTACATGAATAGAAATACTGTAGGCTGCCTGGAAGAGAAGCCAGAAGGCAGTTAGTTACAAGGTTACCACCAATCTCAACAAGACTCACTGGACAAGGAGGCTGGAGAAAAGAGGCCAGCTACATCAGAGAGAGACATGTCTAGGTGGTAAAACTGCCAACAGTACCTGAGTGGATATGAGGGCCTGAGGGCAGATATAAAAGTGCACATAAAGGAAAGTCCACGACAGGTGCCAAAGGGAACTCATCAGTTGCCCTCCTTATATAGCAGCTCAGTCTAACACGTTCTTAACTTTCCGTTATGCCCTGCTGCAGCCAAGTTGAGCTGGTCTGTTACCTTGTTGGACTTGAGCATAGCCAGCTGAGGTGACCCTGGAGGTGTGCGGTAGAGCAGCTCAGAAGTGAAGGCTGCGTTTGCAATCTGCATGCATTCTTCCAAAGTCTTGAGAAAAGTGTTACAGGTTGATTTCAGCAGAGTTCCCACATCAATTCCCTCCTATGAAACAACCAGAGTGGAAGACGCCTTTACTTTGCCAAAAAGGAAAGAGCCCAATTGTGGAATAGTCTTAGAGGTTTTATCCACCACAAAACAACAACAATAATAATCCCATCTATTTTGCTGGACAAATATGTGTACCAGTTATAAAAGAAAAAGACTAAACAAGTATAATTTATCTATTATCCATACACAAGCCTTACCCTCAAGCCTGCCCTTCATGCTCACCCACCACTCCAGCTGAAGGCAACAACTTCTATATGATAGCAATATGTCAGGCACTGAGCCCTCATGGAGTTTCTAGTCTATAAGGGGTGGCAGACACCAAACAGAGTCACATGGATTGATGACCAGTGGGATCAATGGAGAAACGTTTTCTGAGTAAAAAATGAGCTTCCAGAACAGAAGCATTAGAAACCAAATACCACATTGTTTGCTTTCAGAATGGGCTTTTTGGCTTTCAATACAGATGAGTTTAAAAGGTTTTTGCAACTGGAATTCTTTTGAGCATCAAATCATTTTTTTCTCCAAGTCATTTCACTTTCTCAGTGTGATACTGGATATTGATATTAGTAAGTTGTTCAGAAAACAGGCCACCCCCAGATTAGAGAGTATGGTAACCATCTTAGTGGTGTTAAAGCTATCAGATTTGGCCCAAGATGGAGTCACTCATGCTAAGCCTCACATCAGCAAACCAGAAATGTAGCCACATTTCTATGCTGGGTCTCCCAGAAAAGGCAGGCCTAGGTCAACCAATCAGTGCTTGCCTGCTCAGCACAAGTTACTGTCCTGGCTCCAAGACTTCCCTTTGCTCCATATAAGAAAAGTAACCTTGCTTTAACCATTCAGGAAATATCCACTAATAACTTCCTTGTTCCTGCTCACTTTGGTCCACAGAAATCTCTAGCCTGGTACAGCTCTTCATAGCTCCTTTCTATCTGCTGGATGGACTGGATGCTGCTCAATTCATGAACTGCTGAATAAAGCCAGTAGGATCTTTAAATTTTACTCAGTTGAATTTTGTTCTTTAACCATGGCCCCTATATTTTCTTTAATTTATTATTTCTAACAAGTGAGATGTTAATGGTTATGAACCACTGTGATTCAGATACCAATTAGAATGTGTGATTTTCTTCCACACCACCAAGAAATTCCTGGACACCGGCCAGGTGTCCTACAGGTCTACACAATATACCTGGAAATAGTGTCAGGTCTCACAGATTACATGCTCAGTCCTACAAGATTGCCTCCTACCCCCACTTCAGACATCAATGGCAAGTTCAGGGTGTCACTTGTGCTACTGACTAACCTACTATAGACTGAAGATTCCAACAACCCCCTCCCTCTGTTTAACTACTTTACCAGAGCAGCTCACAGAACTAAGAAAAACATTTTACTTACTAGATCACTGGTTTATTACACAAGGGTATAACTCAGGAACAGCAAGATGGAAGAGATGCACAAGACAAGGCATGTGGGAACAGGCTTGGAGCTTCCATGCTCCCTTGAGTGTGCCCCTCTCCCCAGTCAACACTATTTACCAACTCAAGAGTTTTATAAATCCCATGCTTTGAAGTTTCATTAAATGGGCACAACTGATTAAATCATTGGTCAAGGGTGACTGAGGGTCAATCTTCAGTCCCTCTCCCCTCCAAGGAGGTGAGGGGATAGGAAAGAAAGTTCCAACCCTACTTGGTAGGGTCTACTGTCAACCAGAACCTCCATCTTTAAGCACTTTTCAATAGTTGCCTTATTAACATAACAAAAGACGTCTTGACCACTTGCAGGACAGGAAATTCCAATGGTTACCTTAGGAACTCTGTGCCAAAAACCAAAGACCAAACATACATTTCTTATTATAAACCACAATAAGGCAATGGCACCCCACTCCAGTACTCTTGCCTGGAAAATCCCATGGATGGAGGAGCCTGGTAGGCTGCAGTCCATGGGGTTGTGAAGAGTCATACGACTGAGAGACTTCACTTTCACTTTTCACTTTTAGGCACTGGAGAAGGAAATGGCAACCCACTCCAGTGTTCTTGCCTGGAGAATCCCAGGGATGGGGTCGCACAGAGTCAGACACGACTGAAGTGACTTCGCAGACTTAGCAGCAGTTGACTCAGTGGCAAAGAATCCACCTGCCAATGCAGGAGACCCAGGAAAGACAAATATGTCTTCAAGAAAATTCGAGACATCAAGGGAAGATTTCATGCAAGGATGGACACAATAAAGGACAGAAACAGTAAGGACCTAACAGAAGCAGAAGAGATTAAGAAGAGGCGGCAAGAATACACAGATGAACTGTACAAAAAAGATCTTAATAACCTGGATAACCACGAAGGTGCGGTCACTCACCTAGAGCCAGACATCCTGAAGTGTGGAGTCAAGTGGGCCTTCAGACGCATTACTATGAACAAAGCTAGTGGAGGTGATGGAATTCCAGCTGAGCTATTTCAAATCCTAGAAGATGACGCTGTGAAACTGCTGCACTCAATATGCCAGCAGATTTGGAAAACTCAGCAGTGGCTACGTGCTGTGCTGTGCTGAATTGCTCAGTCATGTCTAACTCTTTGCGACCCCATGGACTGTAGCTCGCCAGGCTCTGCTGTTCATGGGGATTCTCCAGGCAAGAAAACTGGAGTGGGTTGCCATGACCTCCTCCAGGGTATCTTCCCAACCCAGGGACTGAACCCAGGTCTCCTGCATTGCAGGTGGATTCATCAACTGAGCCACAAGTCAGTTTTCATTCCAATCCCAAAGAAAAGCAATGCCAAAGAATGTTCAAACTACCATACAGTTGTACCCATTTCACACGCTAGTAAGGTTATATTCAAAATCCTTCAAGCTAGGCTTCAGCAGTACAAGAACCGAGCACTTCCAGATGTACAAGCTGGGTTCAGAAAAGGCAGAGGAACCAGAGATCAAATTGCTAACAATCAATGGATCATAAGAGAAAAGCAAGGGAATTCCAGAAAAACATCTACTTCTGCTTCACTACACTAAAGCCTTTGACTGTGTACAACAAACTGGAAAATTTTTAAAGAGATGGGAATACCAAACCACCTTACCTGTCTCCTGAGAAACCTGTATACAGGTCAAGAAGCAACAGTTAGAACTGGTTCCATATTGGGAAAGGATTAAGACAAGACTGCATATTGTCACTCTGCTTATTTAACTTCTAAACAGAGTACATCATGTGAAATGCCAGACTGGATTAATCCAAGCTGGAATCAAGACTCCCAGGACAAATATCAACAACCTCAGATATGCAGATGATACCACTCTAACAGTAGAAAGTGAAGAGGAACCAGAGAGCCTCTTGATGAGGGTGAAAGAGAAGAGTGAAAAAGGTGGCTTAAAACTCAGCATTCAAAAATGAACATTGTGGCATCCAGCCCTATCTCCTCATGACAAATAGAAGGGGAAAAGTGGAAGTAGTGACAAATTGTCTTTTTTGGGCTCCAAAATCACTGTGCATGGTGACTGCAGCCATGAAATTCAAAGACACTTGCTCTTTGGAAGGAAAGCTATGACAAACCTAGACAGTGTATTACAAAGCAGGGATATCACTTTGCCAACAAAGGTCCATATAGTTAAAGCTATGGTTTTTTCAGTAGTCATGTACAGATGTGAAAGTTGGACCTTAAAGAAAGCTGAAGGCATCAGAATTGATGCCTTCAAATTGTGGTGCCAGATAAGACTCTTAAGAGCCCCTCGGACTGCAGGGAGGATATCAAACCAGTTAATCTCAAAGGAAATCAACTCTAAATATTCATTGGAAGGGCTGATGCTGAAGCTGAAGCTCCAATACTTTGGCCACCTGATGTAAAATAGCTGACTCACTGGAAAAGACCCTGATGATGGGAAAGATTAAAGGTAAAAGGAAAAGGAAGTGGCAGAGGATGAGATGGTGAGATAGCGTCACCAACTCAATGGACATGAATCTGAGCAAACTCCGGGAGATGCTGAAGGACTGAGGAGCCTGGCATGCTGCAGTCCATGGGATCACAAAGAGTCAGATATGACTTAGCAGCTGAACAACAACAATATATCACAACACCACAGCCACAGTTTCATTAGCAAGTATCTGAGGCACTTACTATAAACACTTACTACTAATACAAACACTTTTGAATTAAACACTTACTATAAACACTTCTGAATTAAAAGTTGCTGCATTCACTTTCTTCTTTCCCTCTCGACCAGGGCTTCTCTTCCTTGGCTCCACTGGCATTTGGGGCTGGCTAATTATTGGAGGAAGAGATGGGAGGGGGAGTGGCTCTCCTGTCCCTTCCAGATATTAAGCAGCATCTGGCCATCTGACCTCTCTCCCTTAGATGCCAACAGCACTCCCTCAGTAGTGACAACCGAAACTGTCTCAGCCATGGCCCAGTGTTTCCTGAGGCGCAAACTGCTCTGGCTGGAGAACCACTGCTCTAGGTTCTAACATCCCAAAAGCACGACTGAAATGTTTTGGTGGGCCTCCCACTGCCCTCCCTCAGCATAATGTCTTGTATACAACACGCTGAATTAGTAAGAAAGATCCCTACACCCCAAAGAGTGAATGAAAGTGAGCTAAAACACTTTTATTAGAAAAACTTAGAGCACATATACTATTAGTAGCATAGTGCTATATTACCTAAGTAATGAAAATCTGCAGATTCTTCATTTTTGTAGGCACCGTTTCTCAGATAACTTCTTTGAAAGCAGAGCAGAGACCTCTCTATGGTTAATGTGAACCATTCAATACATAGATTAACACCAGTTAGATCTTTTAATATATGTTTTAGAATGAGAAAACAGCAATTTCATTAATAAGTGATAAAGATTTCAATCCTTGCTGATGATGGAGAGAAATAAAGCTGTGTCTCTATCTCTGGAAGCGCTAGTCTATGCTAAAGGAGAACATCTACCACGGTGAAATAAATGCTGTTACAGTCTCAACAGAGGTGACAGATACGCATAACTGACACACAAGATGCTGTCGTCTTAGGAGCCACATCACTAGTACAGAAACTGCGCTGTTAGACAGTTAAGGCTGTATTTTTAAAAGCTATGCAAACTGAGAAGACACGTATTCTAGTACACTACTACTAAAGTTAAAAGTTCCAAATGTTATCAATTAATCCTGCATTCTTCCCAGGAAGGAAAACTATATGCTTCCATATGCTGATATGCATACATTTCTTCTCTTTAAGTCTATCACTTTTTTTTCTGTGAAAACCATTATATTCTAAGGTATGGATTATGTAAGAATATGCATCACGGGTAAGCAACATCTGGTGCTACTTTTCAAAGACGAATGGTATTTTACCTCAGAACTGGACACGCCGGTTGTGGTCACTTCTTTCGTTTTATCTACTTGCTGAACAAGAAGATCACAGTAGAGTCTTAGTTCTGACATTTTGGTTTTCAAGTTTTCAGTGTTTTCAGCAAATTCTAAATAACAAAATGATGAAAATGTAATTATCAGAATAAGTAACTGATATACTAGTTAGTATACCATACAGATAAAATATAATCTATGTTTTAAAGTCAGATGTTTATATTATGGGCTACAGATACTATATAACTGAAGTTATGGGAACAAGAAAAACAGAAAAAGGAGATTCCTAGCCTTCTGAAGTAATCTATCTGAAGTAATCTTCTGAAGTAATTTCTTGACCCAACATATTTACTAATCACCAGTTCAGGAAGGAGACATATACCTCTGATTCACTTGTGTCAGAACTGGGAACAGAGTCAAAGGTTCACAGTTTTGATCTCAGTTCTGCCACAGTTTTTCTATCGGTAAAATGGGGTCACAGCTATCTACCTACCTGCTAACATGGTGCTCAAAACTGGGAAGTAGTGGTCCGTAACATGCAATGACCACTAATAAGATAGCTCATGAATCAGAGGACTGGTTCAGCATGCTGCCTGGAAAGGCAAATGGCACCCTCTGCACACCTGCTGCGTCTCCATTAGTTCGGCACTCCATCCACCCTGGCACCAAGGACTCGGCTACAGTCATTACTGCCTCTGTTTTGTTCTCTGTGAAAAAGCCGGCACATTCTACCTGATGTGAGTCAGAGCTCACAGAGTCAAGAATTTGCTTTTGACTTAGCATTTAAAGGGCTTCCCTTGTAGCTCAGCTGGTAAAGAATCGGCCTGCAATGCAGGAGACCCCAGTTTGATTCCTGGGTCTGGAAGATCTGCTAGAGAAGGGACAGGCTACCTACTCCAGTATTTTAGCATTAAAAACCAACCAAGAGGCCATCTTACTGTGTCTACCTCAAAAGTGAAGTACATCTGCCATTAGGTGTCACGAGAAAGGTCCCTGAAACATTTTTCCCAGAGGCCCCTCTCTCTCCTACCGATCTTTCCAGGTGTACATTCGGGGATGCAGGGAAGGCAGAGCTCAGGCAGTAAGCTCTGGCACTTGTGACCCAGGACAGATAGAAAGTTATGTCACAGTTCTCAGGAGACCTAATGATGTTGAGTTAATGAGCATTAAGCAGCAGGAACCTGACAATTAAGCAGCCATCCACTCCAGGAAAAAGGAGGGGAAAGTGGGGTGCTACTGTAACAAACACTCAGATCCAAGGCTTCTCTGGCTCAGTCACCCTTTACCAAAAGTGACCTTTGTGCCAGACAAAGTACTAGGCAGTTTTATATCATCACTGATCCTCATGGTAATTCTTGTAAGGTAGGTAATTACCTCTTTCTAAAACATAAGGAAACTGAAGATGAGAGAGGTCTTATGCCAAGGTCACAAAGCCAGTACCCTACAAAGCCATGATTTGAACCCAGTTGTGTCTGGCTCCAAAACCTACCCTCTTTCTACTATGACATGCTAGGAGAGAAGAGTCAGGTATAGATTGTTTAAGTTCCACTGAGATGTACAGCACCTACATGACATAAAAAGCTAGCTGTGGCTAGGTGGTCAGAAGCAAGATAACAAATATGGGAACCCGGAGATGCCACCAGGTAATTCCCAGGGTTCCCAGGCCAGAGGACAATCAATACTTGCCTTTTTCCTTCTGGGTCCTACTGTCTGTCAGGCAAGCCTTGGCTGACCCCAAGGCTACCAGCCACCGCTGTCTCTCCGCCACACTTCTGGCCTTCAGGTAGAAATATTGTTCCCCAGGGATGATGAGATCCATGCGTGTGTTATCTACAGAATGAACTGGGAGCAAGGCAGAAGGAGGTCAGAAACCCAGAAGAGCCCTGTCTGGGTAGCATCCACTCTACCCAAACTCCTGACCTTTACTGGGGGCCAGTCACTGAGGACTTCTTCCAAAAAAGGATGCCAGCCCTCACAACTTCTGGTTTATTTATCTCTTCCTAGAGGTCTCTGCTGATGAAGAAGGAAAACTCTTCAACTGGCTCCAAGGTCTCACCAAGACTTTGGCCTAAAAAAGAAGCACTTAAATCTCCTCAGGATCTTTTAGAAGAGGAGAGAGGAAAAATCTCTCTTTTGGCATGTGTGTAAAGCATGCTGGTCTGCAGCCAAAATGGCTTGATGCAAACAAGTAAGGATGTGCTCTTCATCTCCTTGGGGTACTGGAAAGCAATTAAATAGTATTTTTACTCTTCTACCTTCCTTTTACATGTCATATTAAAAACGTGACAACTGGAAAGCAATCAAGAACACAGCACTTTCCCTTTTCTACCTTCCTTCACTCATTATGTAAAAAATGTGACAATTCCCTTAAAGCCTCTAGGAGAAGAAACAAGCAAGCCACACTCCCCTTCACCCTCCAAATCCTGGGCCCCTAATTCCATTCTAATTGGTTTCTGAGCCACACCCTCCCAGCACATCCTAAGATTCCTAAAACCAGGAAGTAAAGGCTGTTTGTAGGTCCGTTAGGTGTTTGCTTGTTTAGTTTTGAGTATGGTGAGGGTGGTAAGAAGGTAGGTACGAGTCCTGATTTAAACATAGAAGTGTTTGATGTTGCAATAAAAACACAAGGTTAGAAAATTGCCTCAAGTGCCAGGTGAGCAGGAGACTGTGAAATGGTACTAGATGTGTGATTAATAAACACACTGCTCTCATTTATTTTCACTACCTCTTAACCAACCTTCTTGTAAAAACTGCCTGCAGTTTTAGGTCTTACTCTCAAGGTTTTTTTCGGGGAGGGGGGGGCGTGGTACATAACATAATATATCTTTGTCTATACTTTGGAAGCAGCACAGAAAGGCCTAAGAAACCAGTGCTTTTTTTTTAATCTTGGGGGAGAAACAGAAAGAAAAATAAATCCTGCAAATTTCTTGGCTTCTCACCTTGAATTTCACAGACTGCCATCTGGATGCTCCCTTTGCAACCTTTCCAGGCATCTTCAGGAGAATCATAGTAAGATAATATCCCCCCACAGAGAAGGAACCACCGAGGCTGCCAACCTGCAAACAGAAGCAAGAGCATGGTCTCAATTACTGCTTCCCAGGACACAGAATAGGACCTAACAAAGGATGCTGGATTCCAGCTCCAAGGAACTTACCTTCTGGGGGAAAATTCTAAGGGAAAAAAGCTAGAAAAGATGTATATTTGATTTCATTTTTGCATAGGAGTCTGGAAGGAGGAGCAATAAATATAGTGATGATTCTCTAAGTAATGGGATTACTGATGATTTTTATTCCTTTTTCTCTCTAATACAGTACTAGTAATCTTTGGTTTTTAATTTTTCTAAGATTAAAGATTATTATTTTCCAAACATTATTGTTAACACACTTGCTCTCTTCCCCTCTAGTTAAGAAAAATTATTCTGAACCTCAAAATGAGACAAAAGATTATACTGACCTTTCAACATTACACAAAGTGCTGCCTAATAGGTCTGCCTAAGGTCATATGATTTCCAGGAAAAGATAACTTTAATTTACTATTTGGTATTGATGCACTGAAATGGAGTAATCTTAAAACATTCACGGGCTTAACTATTTTTACTTCAGAGAATTTCACAGGACAAATCGTATTCAGTGGAAACTCACATCTTATCTAGTCCTCTTACACAACCTATATTCTAGTCACACCAAACTTACTTGCTGTATTCCTGCTTCAGAGTTTTCGCTCAAATTAGATCTTTTTCCTAAAACTGTCATCCCTGACTATCTCTTGCATAAGCCTTGTCAGTCTCCTTTGTCAGATTTTTTTTTCTCTCTCTGAAATGCCACAGCTCTTTAAGGATACATTTCTCTCACTGGATTCTTCTATGGCTGAGATAGTCAGAAGTTTGGTAGGGACCTTGGGCAGGGCCCCAAGGGCTGCTCAGGTACATACCTGATGGGCTCTTGGGAACAGATTCATACCAAGTAAATACGTAAGTCACCTATTGATGTCAAAATAGTAAATGTCAGGGAACCACTGACAGGGAAGCACCTAAACCCTTTACTGGACGTCAGGAGTCCCAAGGCCTTAACTCAACACCCACGCAAGTCAATTACTGGATGGAAAACCTCTTGGGATGAACTTGTAAATCTTGTTTCAGAAGGTGATGCTTCCTGGCCCTGGTTTCAATTCTATGCAAACAAACCTGAAAGCTACTGTTCTTGACACAAACATTACAATTCAAGAAATCAACCTGGTCATGAGATTATGACTTGTTGAGTATACAATCAGCACTCCAGGAGCTGGATACTACTGGTGATATTGTAGCCCTCTGCAAGTCATTATCTACACCTTAACGCATCTCCCCATACTGAAACAGAAGAATCAACTGCTAAGACTCTGAGAAATGAAAAAGATTTTGAAATCACCTAGTTCAACCAGCTCTTTCACAGAAAAGGAAACCAATCCCAGGCAGATTAACTGACCTACCTAAAGTCACAAACGAAGTATACAACACAGCTGGGAAGAAAACTGTCTTTCTAACACTGTCTCTCCTGGCGTAATAACTCCCAAACCCTGACTCCCCATTGCCAGAAAGCTATCCTGGTATAGAACAGTAGCATTTTCTCACTTACAACTCAACTTCCATGATTATGTTCGGTGTGAAACATTCTCCAAACCCACCATGACTCTCAAGTAGAGGGAAATCAACGTACCCTCAATTATCATATTTTATCAAATTTCAGACCTCACCTACATTAGTCTTCATTCTCCAGGAAAAGAGAACCAATAATATGTAGGCATATCTACACATAATTTATTATAAGGAATTTGCTCACGCATTACAGAGCCTAAGAAATTCCAACATCTGCGGTCAGCAAGCTAGAGAATCAGGAGAGCCAACTTGTAATTCCAGTCCAAAGTCAGGAGGCTTGAGACCCAAGAAGAGTCAATGTTTCAGTGAGAGTGAAAAAACAGGAAAAGACCAAAGTTCCAGCTCAACAGTCAAGCAGGAGGAGTTATTACCCCTTATCCCTTTTTGTTCTATTTAGGTCTTTGGATGGGACCCATTCATGTTAAGAAAAGCAATCTACCTTACTATGTTTACCAATTCAAATGTTAATCCCATCCAGAAATACCCTGAGACACAACCAGAATGATTAGTCAAATGTCTGGGCACTCCATGGCCCAGGTGAGTTGACACAAAAAATTAACCATCAGATACCATCAATTTTAAGATAAACTGAAGTATTGGCATATGATATGATTAACAAGGTTTAATTTCCAAAATATACAAATAGCTCATACAACTCAACAACAAAAACCAAACAACCCAATCAAAAAATGGGCATAAGACCTAAATAGGCATTTCTGCACAGAAGACATATAGATGGCCAACAGGCACATGAAAAGATGCTCAACATCACTAATTATCAGAGAAATGCAAATCAAAACAATAATGAGGTACCACCTCACACTGGTCAGAATCAGTTCAGACACTCAGTAGTGTCTGACTCTTTGCGACCCCATGGACTGCAGCATGCCAGGCTTCCCTGCCATCATCAACTCCTGGAGCTTGCTCAAACTCATGTCTATCAAGTCAGTGATGCCATCCAACCATCTCATCCTCTGTCATCCCCTTCTCCTCCTGCCTTCAATCTTTCCCAGAATCAGGATCTTTTCCAGTGAGTCAGTTCTTCGCATCAGGTGGTCAAAGTACTGGAGTTTCAGTTTCAGCATCAGTCTTTCCAACGAATACTCAGGAATGATTTCCTTTAGGATGGACTGGTTGGATCTCTAAGCAGCCCAAGGGACTCTCAAGAGCCTTCTCCAACAGCACAGTTCAAAAGCATCAATTCTTCGGCACTCAGCTTTCTTTATAGTCCAACTCTTCACATTCATACATGACTACTTGGAGAAACCATAGCTTTGACTAGATGGACCTTTGTCGGCAAAGTAATGTCTCTGCTTTTTAATATGCTGTCTAGGTTGGTCACAGCTTTTCTTCCAAGGAGCAAGCATCTTTTAATTTCATGGCTGCAGTCACCATCTGCAGTAATTTTGGAGCCCAAGAAAATAGTCTGTCATGGGACCAGATGCCATGATCTTAGTTTTCTGAATGTTGAGTTTTAAGCCAGCTTTTTCACTCCTGTCTTTAACGGCCATCAATAAAAAGTCTACAAATAATAAACTGTAGACAGGAGAGGGTGTGGAGAAAAAGGAACTCTTGTTACACTGGGTTGGTTGGCATGTAAATTGGTACAGTCACTATGGAAAACAGTATGGAGGTTCCTTAAAAAATTAAAAATAATAAGAGTTACTACATGATCCAGTAAAACCACTCCTGGACATGTATCTGGAAAAAACTCTAATTCAAAACGATACATGCAGCCCTATGTTCACAGTAGCACTACTTACAACAGCCAAGACATGGAAGCAACCTAAATGTCCATCGACAGATGAATGGATAAAGAAGATGTGGTACGTATACACAGTGGTATACTACTCAGACATAAAAAAGGATGAAATAATGCCATCTGCAGCTACATGGTTGGACCTAGAGATTATCATACCAAGTGAAGTAAATCAGACAGAGAAAGACAAACATCATACAATATCACTTACATGTGAAATCTAAAATATGAAATGAATGAACTTACTTACAAAACAGAAACAGACTCACAGACATAGAAAACAAACTTTTGGTACCAAAGGGGAGAGAGGGAGGGGAGGGATAAATTAGGAGCCTGGGATTAGCCGATACAAACTATTATAAGAAAACAGATAAACAACAAGGTCCTACTGTGTCATATGGAGAACTGTTTGCAATGTCTCCTAACAACCTATAATGAAAAATAATATGAAAAAGTATATAAATATTATATATATAACTGAATCACTTTGCTGTATACTAGAAACTAACACCTTGTAAATCAACTATACTTATATTAAAAAAAACAACTTAGGAAGAACAATACGGCGGAGGAGTAGGTGGACGTGAAGTACATCTCTCTCCACAGATACATCAGGAATACACCTTCAGACACAGAAGTGCATGCAGAACACCAGTTGAGAGCAGACAGGAGTACCTGACCAGCGGAAAAGAATATCTAGAACCACGCAGAACTTGGTAGGATGAAGGGACGAGGGAGAAAAACAGGACTGTTAGTAGGACTGAACCTGTCCTCGGGGGGTGGGCGAACTGAAGCAGGGGTCCGATCCCCGCATGGGGCAACTGTCTGAGTCAGAGGAGAAACGTTTAACGCTGAGAGTGAAACTGTTGATCTGTGGCGGCCTAAATGGAATGAGAATCAGACAGTTGCTGCAGCCACACATACCGCGGATAGGGAGGAGGGCCCTCTGGAGGGTGCAGCGGCTGGGAGCTGGAGTTTGGGGACTGTGAAGCGACGCCAGGGCAAGGGCTGCTGTTGACTGCGGAGAGACCGAGGGGGTGTGAGGGAGGAGATCGTGGTGGGAAATGCCGGTGGAGGAAAGCCTGGCAGCCATGGAAGCAAGGCAATATTGCTGAGTCAGGCAAAGCGGGTAGAGCCATCACCATAGCCTCTCTCTCCCCACAGGCCAGCATCGGCAGCTGAACAATAGAGAGGCTGGCCCAGCAAACGCCCGACGCACTGAACTACAGAGCAGAGCACCACCCTGGGCGCCCCTTTAAGTGCCTGACGCGCCAATCTACAGAGTGGGACCCCAGCCAGGGGGCCCCTCTATGTGCAGAACACCACCCTGGGTGCCCCTTTAAGTGCCTGACGCGCCAATCTACAGAGTAGGACCCCAGCCAGGAGGGCCCTCTATGTGCAGACCACCACCCTGGGAGCCCCTTTAAGTGCCTGACGCGCCAATCTACAGAGTAGGACCCCAGCCAGGCGGGCCCTCTATGTGCAGAGCACCACCCTGGACGCCCCTTTAAGTGCCTGACGCGCCAATCTACAAAGCAGGACCCCAGCCAGGCGGGCCCTCTATGTGCCTGAACAATAGAGAAGGAGCCCAGGCGAGGGAGTCCGCTAAGAGCCTGAATGGGAGGAGCTATGGAGAAGGACTGGCCAGAGACGCCTTTTTATGG